AATAATATTATAAAAGCAGTGTGTCTAGTATGAACTCGGCAATCCTTCCCCCACAAGAACACAAAGCAGATCGAGGCCGGTCTCTTCTTTTTGATCTAGTGTTTGTATTAATGGAAACATTCTGTTGGCAAAGACCCTAACACCATTATGCACTAAGTCGAATCAAACTTCCACATACCCTTCACTAACCATTATTTTATCCCTAAGCCTAGGCTGCATTTCTAAAGTTCAGCACACCTTTAAAGTTCCACATACAGCAATTAAAAACAGTAAAGTTCACAAAGATAAAACATAGTGAAACCAGAAATGGCAAAGTTCAAAACAATGGTGCTTTGCGTTTTAGAGGCTCATAGAATTGCACAAAAAAAGTTCATCACCATGATTAACCAACCCACCATCGAAGTATATATCATGGCTAAATTAATCAACTTAAGCCATTCCGTTTTTCTTTGTTCTGATCTAAGGTTTCAACCCCTATTCTAAAGTCTATAGAGTGAGTCATAGACACATTTTGTTTGACCAAACGTGGGTTTTCTTGTCAACAAAGGAAGCTCCTCATATTATACTTATATTTCCACTGTCAATGATTCAGCTAACTTGACAATGCTTTGCCATTAACTATTCTTTTGAAACTTATTAGTGGTAGACCAAAATAGTTTTTTTAAGTATAAAACTTAAATTTTTAGTTAATTTTGAGCTTAAATTAAAGTGAGATTCATTCATTATTTGGAGTAAATGTTTGTGGATTCGTCTTCTACTTCATGAGAAAAATAATGTAATGCATTCACTTGTTCAAATCGAATAAGAAATGAATGAGAAAATAGGCTCCAAAGTGACCCTCTTGAAATGTGGAAATAAGTATGGTGCAATGTGTAGGGATGGCAGTGGACTGGATAAAAATGGATATTCGTCCAAACGCGTCCTGTTTGCACCGGGGATGGACCATACGTATTGGAAGGTGGACGTATACGAAAATATCAGTATAAACCCGTGTAGGGATAAAGGCGGAAATGAACTGACACTTACTCCCGCCCCGCCTTTCCCCAACTTTGCTCGTTATTATTATTATTTTTTTTTTTACATATATACACACAAACAAACATGTTATTGTGAATACAAATTTACATATTATTGAATAATTTTTTTAAATTTTTTTTTTTGATTTTTTTAATTGTTTTGGCGCTGTATAAGTGTAAATTTTTGTATTTTTATATTTTTTTTTATGTTGGATTATTTCATGTTACATTATGTTGTGTTGCATGATATTGCGTTACATTGACAAGGGAGACAAACTTTTAATTATATTATGTTGTAGACAAAGTTTTAATTATATTATATTGTAAATAACAAACTTTTAATTATGTTATGATATTCTATAATTATGTTAGATTTATTTAAAATTTTAGATTATGTTTGGCTTGGGCTTAGGCTTGGGTGAGTAAAGTGGACGGGTGGGGGTGGGGGCGAAGGTGAAGGCGGGGGACGGGGCAGGGGGCAGGGATTACATATTTATCCGTGGACGGGGATGGGGATGAAGATGAAAATTATACCCGTTAACGGGGGTAGATCAGGGATGAACGAAGTTTTTTTAAGCAAGAACAGGGATGGAGACTACTTCCCCCGCCCTCGCTTCGGTCCATTGTCATCCCTAGTAATGTGAAATTTGACACCAATCTCACATTTATTGAGGAAGAAGTTTTACATGAGCATATATAGGCCAAATTTGCTCTATGAGATTGAGCCCCAAGGGGTACCACAACTTTATGAGCAGAGTGAACGCCTACATGTCTTAGGTTTTACCATATGCGCGTGCCGCCCGCGCATATGGCTTGTGTGTGGGTGTGGTTTAAACCAAGTCGTATCTTTTTGAAGAAAATATGTATTTTCGATATCCATTGGATTGCATTGGTTCTAATTTTTTGCTTCCCTCCAATTCGAAATCTGAGTTATGTTTGTTTATAGAGAACAATTACATAAGTGGCGTCTTCTGACTTCATGTGTTTGTTGGGTTGCATTCATTCATATGGTGACTGCCCGGATCAGTTACCATTCTCTCTATAAATAACTTAGTCACATAATCATTTTACATCAAATAAATCTAGTACATTTGTAGTCATTTAAGACAATCTCATACATCATTAAGACAGTTTACATTTAGAGAGTACATAACACAATTTCTGATTTGCTGAACGAGTAAATTAGAGTGTTACTTCTACTCATGTGAAGATCATTGTATTTTGGAAAACAGACGTTTTATATTCCATAAGCATCATGTTTAGGAGCGAAATATATCTTAAAAACTTAATGTCAAACGCTAGTCTTGATCTACTTAAAGTTTAACAATAATTTCTGTTCTGCAAACGGGTTAATATTTATATTAATTAAACAAATAGTTACATGTAACTGTTTCGGTAAGATGAAATCTGTCTTATTTGTTTATTTATATTAATTAAACAAATAAATTTTATTATTTCTTCTGTAATTGTTTCACACTTAATTGTTACTGTTTTTTTATACATTTACATGTTTTAAATCAGATATTTCAATAAGTGATTATACTATATTTAAAATACCGCAAACAACAATTAGCTAGGGGTATGCATTAATTTATACAAAAATAGAGTTGCTACTCTCGTATCTTATGGGATATGTGTTTTGTCTAATGCCCGACTTGTTTGTTTGGACTATTAGATAAATACTTATATTACATATTTCGGTATTAACTTAAACTTTGAGATTATATGGGATTGTTTAGTATGAACATGTGTGAACTTATTGTTCTATCCACAATTTTTTAATCAATGAAATCAGTATTTTATCAATAGAGAAGCTGCCTAGCTAGACTATACCACTTAATTGGCATTCGAAATCATTAACGTTTACAATAAATTAAGTTAGTAATGTGGGCGATTCAGTCAGAAACAATGTCAGACCTATGAATCAGTTGGAGCTCATACAACAACATATGGGTCAACCAGTCCCAACATGACTTACCAAGCATGTTAGCTGAGGATGAATGTCTTATAATAATGCATTATCTTTGACGTATAATTTAGTTGAAAAGCTGAATTTTTGCAACTTGCAACTCTTAATTTGCGACAAAACCTAATTGCAGTTTGAAATTAAAGAGTGGACTTATATCTACTTCCATTATAGATGTTCCACGGTCTCAGAAAGTCTCTTCTTATGTTGTGAAAATGTTTCACAAGAAGTCCAAGTTTTGCCATTACACAGCAAACTCCAATCCTCAACTGTCATTGAAGTCAACTTGAAACAGAGTTGAAGGCAGCCGAATAAGAATTTAAACTGATTCAAACATGCAGTAATCAATTTGGTTTTAACTTTTGGTTAGTTTATTAGGACTTAGGGGGTTATAGTGCGCTGTTAATGGTCTAAATATCCAAAAACAGAGCTGGTTGGTACAATAGGGTACCAATACCACTGTACCAGCAAAAATCACAACTCTTATGCATATATATATATATAAAAGCGGGTAAAATTGATCGCTAATGTTATTGAGACATAATTTAGCAACATAATTTAAAGACTTAATGAATAATTGTCTTAGCGGGAGCGGGAGCGGGAGCGAGAGCTGCATCCTTGTGAGCTAGCTGTGTTTTGTTATATTTACTATGATAAGCTTCTGAGCTTGGTTTTTGGTATATTTTTCTCAAAGAGAATACACATGAAAGCTAGCTATTGTTTGGGCCCATCATAATAGGAAAGCCCTCCTAAGGATTTGATGTACATGTGCAATGCAGTAAAAAAGAAAATATAAATATTTACTTGATCCGTAATTCTGTTTATGTCCATGAATTGGGAACTGTTGTTGTTCACTATTCCAAAAAAATAGTAATAGAATTATATGATTTTAGACATTAACACCAGTTAAAAATCCCTAACTCGTATAAATTGTAAATAATATGAGACACTTGTACTCTTGGATGTGATAAATATAAGTCACACACTATCTTTAACACGGCTGGTTAAACTTCAGATCGAAGGGAGAGGGAGGGGGGTTTGGAATCTTGGCAATCAAATTAATGGTTAGGTTAGCATGTTCTTCCTTCCCGGGATGCCAATAGATTTATGGTACAAACCTAAATAAACTTCATGCAATACAAATCTATATAAAACTTGTCATCTTTTTAGACTCATTCACAACAATTCCCTCTGGCCCCATATTGTTAATTACCAGGCTAGTCCAAACTTTAGAATGATCTGAACTATTGGCCCCAACATTTTCGCTTGGCCCATCATCATTATTGAGTACTTTAGCTAGGCTAGTCCATTCCATTTTGTTTTCGTTTCGTTTCGTTTTGGGCTTTGTCCACACTCGGCCGATCATGGGCACTACACCAAATTGGAATGAGTACTTCATTCTTTTTTTCTTTGTTTTGGTGCTTTGTATTGATACTTAAACCTTTGAATCGGAGAAGGTAAGGAATCAACCTAAATCTTTAAGCCAAATTCCCTTTTTTTTTTTTTATTGTTTCACCTCTTTTGTAATTGTGTGAAACATTATCATGCATCTTCAGTATAAGAATCTATCAACAAATTAGTTTAGTTGGTATGCCTTGATTCTTCAAATTTTTTTTTGTCAAATATTCCTAGAATTACTAATTGTTTAAAGTTTATCTTCACTTATTTTTAGTTTTTATTTTTATTACATGTGTTATTAGAAAGTTATAATAGTTGGTTCCGAAGAAGAATACAAATCTATTGATATTGATGTACATAAAATTATTTATTATTTATTTTTGTATGATTTGCTTTTATATATTAATTTTTTTTATTCAAACAATATTGTTTATAGCCAAGAGTTTATATAATTATTGAAAAAAAAAAGGTAACAAATTTGGCTACTACGTATATAAAATTAAAAATTGAAGCTCGTAATGCCCCTGGCTGTGTTAGATGCATTATTTTTATTTGATCACGTTAATTCTCAAACATAAAACGTCTCTCCTCCTCCTCCTTCTTCTTCTTCTGTGGCTCTTCTTTTCTGTCTTTTTTCTTCTAAAATTTTCTCTCTCTGCTGGACCCAATTTTCCATCAGAATCCAGAATTTTGTTCCCTCCAAATTTCTAGGGCAAAGTATCCGATCAAAACAAAGCTCTCACAACACACACTCATACTGCAATCAACTGAATATCAAAGTTTATTTGATGAATTAGGGTGAAATTGTTGTGGAATAGATATGTTCTTTACCGGTGATTCGTCGACTCGGAAGAGAGTCGATTTAGGAGGCCGTAGTTCCAAGGAAAGGGACAGACAGAAGCTTCTGGAGCAGACGAGGTTAGAGAGGAATCGGCGATTGTGGCAGCGCCAACAGAACTCGGCTGCTATCACAATTCAGGTTCAAATGCGTATACACTCATATATATCTGTGCGTGTGTGTACTTATATGATTAATTTTAGGACAGCTAATCTTAAAATTAATACGCACTATGTAGAGTAGGTTATTAGAGACTGTATAAACTGATTACTCAGAGTAATAGAAGTTGAGTGCATAAATTGTAGTTGGTACGACTCTTTATGCAATATTTAATTTGCTGTTAGAATTTTGAACTAAATTTTGAGCATTGGTGTACTTGTGGGGTATTAGGAGGTAATAGTTATCAGAGAACAGGTTAGAGGTTGGTTGGTTTGAGAACGTAGTATTCTGACCGGTTATTGTCTTAAGCTTGTAACTGGAAAAAAGTTCTTGCTCTAGGCAATGGAATTGTAATCATTTTTTTCATGATAGTTGTGTATTTAATCTTTGGTAAATTGCTATGGTGGTCAACGAGACAGTTGGAATGGGATTTTGATTGCTGTGACGAGGATACGTGGATGGCTTTAAATTTTTTCTTCAAGTGGATTTTGTCAATCAATGGCTTAAGCTGAACAATTTTTCGAGGTTCCCAAAGAGTTGTTTCTAAATCAAGTATTCTAAGACACGAGATCCGTGAATAATTTCCGACAGAAGGCATTTTCTAAAAGAAAATTTGTCAGGTTTGAAACTGTTGGAACTGAAAACAAAATTGCCAAACAGAGGTCAAGACTCACATCAAGAAGCAACAATTTGTTGGCATGGCCTTCTGTTAAATGATGATGACTCTTGGTTGGGCTCTACCATTGTTGTGGCTGGAACGGGCTATGCAGTGGTGTCACGTTCTGGTTTACAAACATAGCTTTTTATGTTTATATTAACCTATACGCGAGGGTTTCTCCTACAATCCAGCATTCCCATCTCTTGGGAGGGGTTAATTGATTGCTAAACTTAGATTGAAAGGTCATGTGGATGATGTTACTTATCTCCATGTTTCTATTGTTATACCACATAAATTCCTTCACTGTACACTACTTGATTTGGAAGCATTATTTCTTTTTTCATTGTTTGCTTCTTATGGGGCCATATCTTTTTGTGTTGATTATGAATTAATTGACTAGACACTTCAAGATAAGTTCCCATGGTATGTTGTTTGCATATGATATTATTTTGGTTGATGAAAGTAAACAAATAATTAATAATAATTTGGAAATATGGTGAGAAGTTTTAAAATCAAAGGGATTGAAGATACGTACGATTAAAACTGAATATAAAATATAAATTTAATAAAAGGAGAAATTCAAACCAGGAAGTAGTAAAAATTGAATATCAAGAGATATTGAATAATGAACACTTCAAATATTTAGGATTTATTATTCATAAAGAGTTTGAAATTGGTGACCATGTTACTCCTAGAGTTAAAGTTGGATGGACTACATGAAGTAATGCGTTTTGTATATTGTGTGATAGACGTGTACTCCTTAAGCTTAAAGTAAATTTCTATTGAACGACAATTAGATATGCTATACTTTATGGTATTGAGCGTTAACACATATAAAAATAGAGTGGGATGACAATGAGAATGTTAATATGAATATGTGGTAAAATTAGGAATGATAGAATTAGAAACAATTATATTTGGGAAAAAGTAGAGCTTGCACATATGGGAGAGAAATTAAGGGTGAATCGACTTAAGTAGTTTGAACATATTTATAGACGGTCTACTACGACACCTATGAGAAAGAGTAATATGATATCTATTGACTATTAAGTATACTATAGGGTGGTAGAGAAGGGCAAAAAATTAATACCGAAATAGTAAAAAAATATATGATAACTTATGGTATAATAGAAATCGTGGCCCTTAATAGAGCACAATGGTGAGACAAATTTCATGTAGTTGACTTCCAAAATATTGGGACAAGACTCTTTTGAGTTGAGTTGCTTCTTATGGGGTCATGAATAGGCACTTTCTAAATCTGTTGGTGTGGATTATGCCATTTTTTTTTCTGAATTCAAATGTAAATCATCATATTCTCGGTTTTGTGGCTTTTTTTTTTCTAGTGGTGCAATTTTTACACTTTTTCATCTATTTCTTGTGAAGTTTGGAACTTGATTAATTACCTATTACAGAAATGCTTCAGAGGAAGAAAAGAGGTGGAAGCTGAACGTTCTAGAGTGCGAGAGCAATTTTTTCTGACTTACGGGGAGCACTGCGAAAATGTTGATAGGTTTCAATGTTAATGTTCATGTTTAAGTTGTTGTATATAATCGTTTTCATCTTACTGCCTTTTATTCTCCTTTTAGTTATAGTGTACTAGATCCTTGTATGACACTTTGCTAATGCTCCTTGATGAAAATAATCATGATTATAGCTCTATAATTCTCTTGAACTTATGATTTTGCTCAATGTCTATGAATATTTAGGCATTGCTTTGCACCGGGTTCGGATTTTCTCCGCCAGTTACTTTTCTTCTTTAGTCCACAAAATGTTGCCGATTTTTCTGCCCTTGTGGAGGCATGCCGATTGCTTCAACATTTCGTTCGAGATAGTGGTGTGTTTAACTAGTCTTTTTCTTAATTATGTTTCCGGTTGTTGTCAAATAATATATAGTTGTAACGTGTTTATTTCACGATAATTTAAAAGTAATTTGAAAAGGTCCATCTTATGGCATTTCTATTGATGTTGTTCTTTTGTAATTCCTTAGCATCTTGTTATTGGATTGGGTCTTACTCTTCTCGATCCCCCCCCCCAACTCATTCTCCTCAATATTTACTTTCTCTTCTATTCTCTGTTTGGAAAATTTAATTGAAAATTATGGAAATTTGTATTGTAGAACAAAACTTAGTTGAGTTGAGCTGTTTAGTTTTCATAGGAATTTGCATTTTATGGGTAATTGTCGGTAAGTGTACAACTTGGGTGGGTGAAATGAACACAACCCGAAAAATACAATACTTGGGTAGAGGTTTTCAATAATTGGGTTAGGCTCAGGAAAAAAAAATTCCAACCCAAAATGTATATAGACACATTACTCGGGTTGAGGTGTCAAGTTCAACCCAAATCCAGTCCTGAGTTTAGAAATTCAAATTCAACTTGTTTTTTTTTCGCTTTTGTATATATGTGGTATAAGGAAAGAGATGGACATAAGATTAGGGTTAGGATTTCTCTTCTCACACCACACATATTTTTTACCTCACTCTCTTCCTCCTATTTCTTGTTGGTGCACCTTTTGCATAAATCTCCTCTTCTTTCTCTCTCTGAACATACTCGTAAGAGAAACTAGAGAGAATTTAACACGAACTTTCAATCGGCTCTCCACCAAAAACCCTTCTTTTTTTGACTTCTTGGTCTCTAACTGGACAAGACTCTGTCAAGGTGGGTACCATTAGGAGTCCCGTCCCAAACCCGAATGGAAGAAGGAAGAGAAGCGGCAAGCACACAATTTGCAACTTGTGTTTGATTTGTTTTTTAGTATTCATATAGTAGATCTAACAGTAAGTTTGACCGGCCTATTCATCTTTTCTTAACATATAGCAAACAATTGTATGAGCTTGTACTGTAGCAATTAGGTTTCTATAAATTGTTTTGGCATTTGGAATGGTTAGGGATCATTGTGATTAGTATTGTAAATTTCTTGTGAATTTTATTGACTATTTTATCTACATTGTATTCTTGTAATTAGGAGGTTGTGATATCTGGTTGTGGAATTGGATTGTAGTTGCTAAATCGAATGAATTTGAGCCCAAAAAAAAAAAGTTATGTTGTAAAATTGAACCCCTCGAATTTCTACCGGAGTTGGGTGCAATTTGAGGTCAACTTCAGTTCAAAAATCAGAAAACGTGCCGGACATTGGTTGAGCTTGGTTGAAGGATTTTATAGTTTGGGTTGAACATGTGTTGACCTCTCAACCCACCCGAGTTGCTACCCTTACTTGCTGTAAAACAATTGTTGAAGTTGCATGCTTTTTTTATTTGTAAAGAAGTAGTTGAGAACATTGGAAGTACTAATATGATGTTAATTAAGTACCGGGAGTTTGTAATACAACTAGTGATAATCTTTTTTACATTGCTTATACATTCTAGTTTTTGTAACAAAGATGCAAATAGCCTTTTATAGCAACATAATAATATCCTCTAGCATGTAATTTAAACCATTTGTCAGTTATTTTTTTGATGCTCATCTGACTAATTGATTAACCAAGTGGGAAACTAACTTTTCCAAAGTCAACACTTTTTTGTCATTTCCATTAGATTTTAGGCTGACAATGCCTCTCTGATCCCCAAATATAATACATATCACAACTCATTTCAAAACAAAGTTTGGCCCTCGCACTTCTCCCTTGATAAAGTGGTCCCATTTGGTTTAAAGGTAACATGTAGGCCACGTGTAGGTTTGACGACGGTGAAAAACTAACTTTTCATCCTAAACCAACGTTTTTGTCTTTTTAATCATATTTCATACCGAAATCACCCTTTCACTATAAAATAAAATGCTTAACACATCTCTTTAACACATCTCTTTAATCATGGTCCCATTGGTTAGAACATCTCCAACAGGCTATGTAAAAGAGGCTTCTTTGCTAATTTAGATAGTTGGTGCACAAATTTTGGCTTCAACGGGCTCGGTATCTCAGTCGGTATTATCCATAAGCCAATATTGGCTCGCTAGATCTAGCGACTTAAACAAGCTAGGTATTTCCTCAACAGAAGCTCCAAAATCGTCACTGCACAAAGCTCCACAGAAACTTAGTCCACAAAAGTTATCGTCTTCATCATCGCAGATCGCACAAAGCTCCACAGAAGTTCAACCCAGCAACTATACTCCTTTACTAGACCATAGAAACTTAACCCAACAACCATATTCCTTTATTTGTTCAATTTTTAGAAAATAGCCAGTCATATAGATGTGTTCTTGATCAAATGGGGTTATATCTTTGTTGGAAGAGGCAGTGGCTGGTGGTGTTGGAAGATGCGATGGCATCATCTTCATCTCCAAGTTCAGTAAAACTCCTCCAAAAATTTAGTAAAACTCCCCAAAAATTCAACTAAATCTCCCAAAAAAATTCAACAAAACTCCCCAAAAATACAGTAAACTCTAATTAAAATCCAGAAACCCCCCCCCCCCAAAAAAAAAAAAAAGGAATTCAGCAAACCCCTAAAAAATCAAGCAAAACTCTCCAAAAATCTTGACTTTGATTATTTGTGTAATTTGAGGTGATTTTGTTTTGGATTTTGTGATTTAATTCGAGAGAATTTGGTTTGAGAGTAGTAATTTTTGGGAGGTGAGGTCTCTCTTGTAGCTTATAATTGATTAAATTTGTACAATGTATAGTTGAATTGCTATTTTTTGAATTTTATTATTAAAAGTTAGTTGAAGTAGTTGGCTAAAATGGATAGCGTGGTTGGAGTGGATTTAAAAAAATGGTTAACTAAAATAGATAATACAATATTTAAATATATTTTGAGTAGTTATTTTAGATAGCATGGTTGGATATGCTCTTAGAGTATACATGAAAAAAAAAACAATTATCATCTTAAAAAAAATTTAAGATTTTTAAATACAAATTATTATATTTATGAACTCAACTCAACACTACAAAACTTTATTCAAGCTATTTGGGGTTGGTTACATTAATCCAACATTGCCATTATACCTTATTAAAGGACATTTTTATTAAATGGTAAGCCATCATATCTTTTTTTTAATCTTTCGTCAAAGTTAATTTCAATCTACTTCTACTGCCCAGATTACCATTGATATGAATCATATCTCTTTTTCATGGGTGAAGTGCTAGATCTTTTACTTATAAGTCCAAATCACCTAAGTCGATCCTTTCTCAATTATTGTCTACAATTATTGATACTTCTATGATTTTAGGAAATATATTCATTTTTAATTCCATCTTTTTTAATTTTTCCTGGTATCCACTTTTAACATCCTCATTTCTACTACACTTTGTTTTTGAACATATTGTTTCTTAATTGTCTAGTATTATGTACCATAACGCATTGGTGGTCTACTGACTATGCCGTAAACCTTACCTTTCATCTTAAGAGGTATGCATTGATCGCATAATATGTCAGGTGTATTCTTTTATTTGGTCCATCCTACTTTAATTCTGTGATTAACATCGCCTCTGATCTCTCTTCCCCACGGATAGTTGATCCTCCAAATATCAAAGAGTTTTCTCTTTATCTTTCTTGATATATAATCTTTACTAACTCCCTTTTTGAGTTTTTGTTATTACTACAATTACATTCCATATATCAGTTTTATTTTTCTCCAAATTTCTAATTTGTTGGTAAATAATATATTAGCTTCAGCAATCAATGTTATATCATTAGTAAATATATAAACCATGGAAACTCAGTTTGAATGTGTCTCTTAAGGCATAACCTTGATGTAGGTGTAAATTGATTTAGAATTCACGGGTCTAGTACAAATATATTCAGAAATTTCATTTTTATATAATTCACACACCGACCAACCGTTTTAGAAGCTTTATAAAAGGCAAAAAGTTAGTGAGGACTGTTGCATTTGAGTAGTTTTGGGTTTTATGATATAGTCAACACCCAATTGTCACTTTTCATGCACAATGAACTCGGTTTTGTTAATAATGTGTGGTACGGTGTTTCTGTTCTGTGCCTCTTTTCTATTGTTTTTTTTTTTTAAATTTCGGATTTTGACAAATTAAACGAACTTTGCTTGCCTATTCAAGGTTCGAGCTCTGTAAGTTTGTGATAGTGTGAGAGCACTTGTGTATTGTTGAGGCAAATGTAATGGGATGAAAAAATTATTGTGATCTTCATGCTTGGAAATATTTGATGCAGAAAACATTACCGTCAATGCATCTTAGTTCCTTTAATGCATTAAGTCTCAATTTTTTTTTTTTTTTCATTTGATCATTTCCATCGGAAGTAGATGTTACACCAAAACAACATATATCTGTGTAGTGTGTGATAGATGTTGATTTGGTGATTAGGCATATTAAATTAATCCTCAGGGAAATCCTTGCTCTGTCATGCATGTGACTCTGTGTATTTTGACTCACTCTTCATCCATCACCTTGCATTTTTTTTCCCTTCACTATGTTGTGCAATCGATAATCTTGCATTGTTTTCCTTTTCCTCACTATGTTGTGCATTATTTGTTTGTAGTTCAGAAGCTTGATTTCTATTATTAAGGTTTGTTTAATCATGCTACAGAGGATGTGCTGAGCCTCTTTGCAGCAGAAGAATATTCGTCCAGGCACTCTTTGGTGGACTTTAGGGTGAAGCAGTTCGCGTATGCTTGTATTCAGGCTGTTCACCAAAATAGGTTCGTTCCATTGGAATGTTATGTCAAATATATCATTTTTTTAATTTCTATTTATTAAACCCATAGTGGTTTTGTGTTTCACACTCAGTTGTCGGATGAAGTTTGGGTTGCATAGATGTCAACTGAGCATGTAATTTATTCTGTAAGCTAGTTATGTTTAGGATATATGATGGGTGTACTACTTTAGATTCACAGTTTCATATGTACTGTTTTATCCAGTATCTTCACTTCATCCTAGCTTACTCTAGAAGATGATTTTAATAGATTAACCACCAATTTTCCATTTTGCACCCTTGTAATGAAGAGAAGATCTCAGTTATGAAGGGTATCTTCCAATTTATTTTCACAATGTATTCTGAATTTACATGTATGGATAATTGATAGAAACCTCCTCTGGTGGTAAGTAGGTTAAACAAACAAAGATTGGTTGTTTTGTCTACTTCTTGCATGTGCCTTGCCTTATGGTGTCTTCTCGGTACACTGCCATGCATATGATTTCAAAAGAATATGTTTGGGAATGCATTATTAACAAAAATTGGTATTTCATATATTACCAGTGGTTTTAACTGTTTCATATGTTTATCTTTGTTTTTTGGTATATCCTCTTTGCTGCATCTGTTGAGTATCTGAATTGACCTAGTTCTTAAATGAAGAAACCCAATAAGTTGTGAGAAACCTTGTGAGAAACCTTGCATTTCTCTGATACAGTAGTGGCGAAAATTATTGCACCACAACCGGTTATGTTGACTTGGTATAGTAATTCTCAAGTGCTTCAACTTCAACTTTTTCCCCACCCCGATACCAAAGGAACTTCAACTTTTCATTTCTCTGGAGAGTCAATTTAAGAAATTCTAACAATTATGATGGCCAAAACACTTCTTGACTTGTTTAGATGTAAAGCTATTTGAAGGCTTCCAAATTCTGCCATGTGTCTTAAGAGTTGACAGCTGTGACGCCATTGCCAAATTTAAGTGATGCCTAACAATATGTGGTCTAAAACATGGTGTCTTGATTGGCATTGGGTGTAAAGAGATGTCACTGCTTCAAAATTCTACCTTATGTCCCATGTGTGGTAGTATCGGTGGATATTGATATGACTCCATTGACTCATATTAGACTTAGCACATTATGATCCCATATCATTCCATGTGTCATTTAACCACAAGTCTGACCAATTCATGGGAGATGTACCTGAGTCGTCTGAGTCATCGTGACTGAATCGGCACTATGATGTGGCAACACTATTTTGTGACGTTGTGATTGACGTGCTTTAGTGCTCGTTGAATTGATGACTAATACTTCGTCCTTGAACTATGATATGTCCTAATAGCTGATAGTTATGACAGCATAGCCATCAACTCCTCAGTAATGGATGTGGCGTGGCACAAATTCAAGTGATTGTGAGGTTAAACTTGATTTGGTCTAACCTTGCTGATCACTCTTAACCTGGGTTTAGCTTAAGCTACTTCTTGGGGTGCATTTTTTATTGATCTCTGAACCCATAAAATATTGAAAGCAGTTCATTTTGTAGGGTTTTGTTGCCCATATCTTGTCTTTGCTTATTTGCATTTCGAGTACTCTACTGTAGAACTATGGGTAGGTAATAAATTACATTCTTCTTGTGTGTTTCTTTATGTCAAGCAATTTTATTTATGCAGATGTTGCCAACAATTAACTACAATTGGTGTATAACTGCTGAAACCACAGTTATTTTGTGCACTTTTCCATGAACTTATAGATGCAACTTTTGTCTCAGTTACTTCTCATATAGAAGAATAGCTTATTTGAGTGATTCTTTGAACAGGAATTTGTTGAAGGATCAACTGTTAATTGCATCTGAGGAATCTGGAACACCAACAATTCTCTTGCTAGAGGCGGTAGTTTTGTTGACTGATCCTAGACTTCCATGGGCCTGTAAGATTGTCGGATATCTTTTGCAGAGAAATATATATGTGCTGCTTAGAGATATTGTTCTTACAGGGAAGGTATTTTTCCATCCTGTCTAGCCCTTGTTAGACATGTCGCGTCTCTTTCAATTTAGTGTATGCATCTTTCAGAAATATTTTTACATGTTGTCTCACCTTTAGGGAGTTGCAGGGTCTCAAGAAGCACACGCAATTTTAAAATTGTAGTTCACTTAGAAACTACAATCCCGATGGTGCGGTAATGAGGTGTTTCTTTTCGATAGGAGTTGGCCAAATCGATATCGTTTCATGTTACATATAAACCCTGAGTCTCACACAATCTCAGTGGAATTATCCGAGTCAACCTTGAATCGCTGAGTTATCGTCAACAAATCGACTGATACCATTTCGGGGCGTTGCAATATAGCCTGAATCTCTTGGCATGTTCAATTTTTTCTTTTAGGTCGTATCGCCTAATATCGTTCAATGACGCTACGGTGATGTATTTTAAAGCCCTCCAAGTCAATAGTCGATACCGTGACCTTAAAACCTGATTTCGTGTAGGTATGGTTGTTAAGTCTTTTCGGTCATAAAATACTCACTGGTGGAAAAAAAAATTTAAGCATTTTCATTTATGTTTCTCACCCTGTGGTGATGAAAGTAGCCTTCCCTTGATGGTATCTCTTTCTGCAGAAATACAGCTCTCGCTCTGTTAGTGACCTCTTTCTCTTTGCCTGTGTTGTGTTTATTGAGAGTATTTATTCTCTTGATGACACCATTGTACAACCAATTGAACTAGTTATACAATCAGTGGTTAGCAATTTTATGTTCTTTTATTTTCCTTTTCTTCCCACCCTGTTTTCTTAGGATATGGAATCACATTGTTAGAACTTAAAACTTCCGAGGAATCATGGTAGGAATGCCAAGGCTTATGTGGAGACATTGGCTATTCTGAGCTAATCTTGATGCTTGGGATTTCTCAATTATATCACCCTTGTTTCTTAGGGATTGTCTTTCAGAGTCTGAAGGCATGACTGTTTGAGGATGCCAGCTGATTTACTGGTTTGAATCTGGGGAAGTTCTAAACCCAGTTTCAGGATTTGCAAGAAGCTGTAAATTGTCTTTGTTGTCTAACAATCAACAATCTATTGCTAGCCACAATTTAGAGAAGAACTTGTCATATAAAAACTAAATGAAGAGAAAAATGGTCATGGCTCTATTTTGTTTGATACATGCACATAACCTGATCTCTTGCAAAATTTTCTCCAACATTTTTACTCCTGGTGTATCTGTCAGAACTCAGAACAAAGAGACAAGTATCACTTTTGATCGCTGATCCATCAAATGTCTTTGACATTAGTAGATAGTGGTCTATTCAGTGATTGTGATTTCTTCCTCATGGTTGATGTGACTATTCTTTTCCTAAACAAGTATAAGAAGCTAAAGAAGAGAAGCAAGTCCAAGTACTACTCTATGATGAAACATTTGTCTAGATTGGCACTATCTATATTTTAGAAATGTAAGTGGCACTCCTCCTTTGGAAGCTGTGGTGAACAATGCACCATGGAAGTTAACTCTTGACTCTTTTGGATAACCCGTTTCCAATATGTGCATTGTGAATAAAATAATGAGCTTGATTTGCTGATGTTTTGGTAATGTTTGGAGTGAGATTGCTATAGGGGTTTATGAACTTTAAATCTGCCCTGCCCAATGCCTCAACATGAGGCTTGTCAGGATAAAGATTGCGGAGCAAAAATTGAACGTATTGATAATCCTTGGGAAAATAACTTTTTTTATTGGATTTAAGATCTCTGAATCTCTAATTGAGTTAGTTTGACTGGATCACGATTATATGTAGAAACATGGTTAAACATGCTTTGCTGTTTCTTGGCCTCATCTCCACTTTTACTTGAATATTTAAGAATTTTAATTTATTATGTTCTTGTGCCTGGTGGAATATAATGTAGTTTATGGATTGTTCTATTACCTTTTTGCAGTGTTTTCCAAGCTCTTTTCTTATTATGTTACTGATGAAGTGCTTTTGTAACCTGGTTTGGTTTGTGCAGAGAAGTATGAACCTTCAGGGATTTGTTGGGATAGTATCATCGTTGGAGCGCATTCTTGTCTTGTTTGCATCTCATGTTGGTCAACCTCCATGTGTCTGTCAGCCCATTGACCCCCAATGGAGTTTCTCATCCTTGATTCTTACGATTCCTTTCTTGTGGAAGCTTTTTCCATATCTAAAAGAGGTACTCTTGAACATATTAGATTTCTTAGAGATTTGTGGTATACAGATAGTGAGGCAGAATCAGGTCAAATTCCAAGAAGTAAATTTCACTAAGTCTGGCTATCGGTATTCCATCGCTTCATGGACTAAACAGCACTCTTTGATTGCTTGTAGTCGGTTCTTTCTTGACAACTATGATCAAGTCATAACTTCAGGTTTTTTTCGCTAATCAGGTTTTTGGGACACGAGGTCTTCTTCAACATTATATTCATCAGATGGCATTATGTGTACAAAATCATGCTAATGTTCTACCAAATGATATATCTCCTGAATTTCCTGGTTATGCTTGCCTTCTTGGAAATTTGTTGGAAACTGCTGGAGTTGCTTTTGCTGAGCCCGACTGCTCATTTGATTTGGTAAGACAAGGTTGTAATTTTTAGTGTAATTTGTGCTCTTTCTGGTTTTGTACTTAATTTATTAACAATGAATATTCTCAGAATTTGAACATAACTGTTAGTTATTTTAGAAAAGAGATAATTGCATAAACAAGACTCACTAATAATAATTTGTTACAACTGTTCAAACAAAGTACTTATCACCTCGAGTGTATGATAAATCCCCTGGTATTGGATTTCTTATCCAACCATTTTGATGTTCTCTTTGATAAAACTCTTCGATAAATCCACTGGCAAACACCCAATATTCATGTTAACACCTAACTTTGTTGTTGTGGAATAACTGACTGTATCAGTACATTTATCAGAGACCTATTCAAATTAGGAAAATTGGATACTTGGAAGAAATGTGTATATTATCTTGGTCGGTGCTGTAGACGGAATGATATAAATATTTTCCTCAAAAAAGTTTTTTAAATATTTTGTTGTCAATCAGAGTTTAATTGTTTATGGACCAAATCCTTGTCTCTTTTGAGTTAAGGAAAAGCAAACTTTCAAAACAAAGTTGGTACGAAGAGAAGCAGCAATGGTCCTGATGTGCAAAAAAAAACATAGATTTAAAACAAAGAATGAACAACCAGAGCCGAGACAGAGTTGAAGAGAACTTTCAATAAGTTGGTGGATAGGCGAAATTTTGACAGAGGTTTTACTGGCTCTATAGCTTCTCATTTTTCCTTTTCTATTTCTTTTTAGGCGTTTCTTAATTAATTTATGAAATTGGCTGCTTTCTACTTGCTATTTTTTCCCCAAATTCGGGGGTCAGGGTGGCAGTTTAGAAATTCAAATCATTTGCTAGTTGTATTTCACATATTTCAGCCTAAACTGTATTTAATGAGCCACCTGCCTATTTGGATCCATCTCCACGACACTGACATATCCCCTCTTGACTTGGGCATTATCGAGAGCATGCCTAGAATAATAAACTGTGTGTACACCCTGGACATGTTAAAATTGAACAAGTGATTCACCATTTGTGCGGAGCATTTACACATGCTGCATGAATAGTTTTATGTCTTTGCTGAAGGTTGTCAATGTTCAAGATATACTCCAACTCTATCCACACAAAGATGGCCATCTTCAGGGGAGTTCTAGAGCTAAAATTGATCTTTGAGGAGACCCCTGGGCTAAGGAATCTAGGTTCCCTCTAATACATTTTCTTTTTATTTTTCTTCTTGGCAGATCATGCACTACTAATGAGTGAGGGATCCATTTATATAGAATGGGACCCACTTGAATCACCTACTTGATCTACCAAGATGGAAAATGGAGAGAAAATGTATTGGAGGGATCTCATTCCCTGCTTGAGGCACTGATCTAAGCTCATCATAATAGGACCAAACCAGAAAATCACCACTCGCTCCGTCTTCCAAATGAGTTCTCCCCTCCATTCGGAAGTCCAAACTTGTATATAAGACCAAGAAAGGGACCCACCGATTTTTATTAATGGTAGTGAAATTCCCTCCGACACTAGGAATCCACACCCTTCTATTGCCGGAGAGATTCACTTAATCAAATATGCTGTATTCCCTGCCACATTGAAAAGATCAGGAAAACTATCCCTAAGAGGCTGCTTTCCGCAATAAGTCATTTCAAAATTTCATCATCTGACAATTGCCCCACAACCATGTCTGCATGCTTACAGAGCTCCTCCCAAACTCTAGCAATGAACTGCTACCCTATGCAGAAACCTTATCTCCCTGGATATACAATCATAGTTGTTCCTGAACATATCACCAAACAGTTAACCACTATAGCCATTTTGCAGGGTTCAAAATGTGCTCTTGGCCTTAGATAACTACCACCTTTTCAGTCCTGCAAATTTCTCTTGATCTCTATGAAGGATTGGGGAAACATTCCCACTAGGGTTGATAGCCTATGTTGCAATGAATTCAAATGTTCCTTCCATGTTTCTCTTTGATTTTTTTTTTCTTTGGGCCGCCCGGGGGGAGGGGGGGACATTTTCGACACTGGATTTGAAATGCATGGAGTTGGACGTGTCTCTTCCTTTGGAGAAGAAAGACCAAAGTTAGCAGGAATCGTAAATCCTCCCTTGCAGAGAAAAAAATAATTAAGAATAAGGGAGGATGAGATGGCACATGACAAAGTGAGGTAACACTAATCCCTTTTTTACGAGAGGATGATATGATATTTCATCATGTTGTTGATGGCAAAAGGAAGGAAGCATATTTGTTGACTAAGAGCTGCTCTGTTATATTTGTTTTGAACTTGCAATGCTCACAATGTAATAATATGCATTTGCTATGTTATACAGATGGAAGCCTTATGTTATGTTTAGGTCTAGAATAACTGTAATCAATGGACTGTTTTATCTGGCCTATATAACTACTCATCTGAATGGTGGAAATGAATTGCTGAACTTAGTTTCTTCTAAAATACTACCTTTGCTTTGTTTTTATTTTGTTTTTGTTTTTATTTTTGTTTTTTCGTTGAAACATGAAATATGGGGAAAGAAATGATTGTTGAAACATGAATCATGCCTCTTGATTTTTCTCTGTCAGACTCAGTTTCGCTCCCCAAACATTACCCTTACCATGTTCATAGGTTATTGATTTTGGCTTACTGTCAGATTATTACACATTTCTACTTTTACTTGAAGATAATTGTTGGAGCATGTGGGCATGTTTTGATTCTAGTCTTTCGGAATACAATTAACTAAATTTCCAGTTTTGTTGACAGGCAATAGACTTTGCAGCTGTTGCAACATTCTTACTGGGGGCACTACCTCCTATCCAAGTATCAAATCGTGGAAGTAAGAGAGTATGCCCTTGTCATGTTATACCCTAGTTATTTTTCCCTCATTTTGTATTTTAGGAGGCCGTTCCTACCATCCAAGCATCAAATAGAGGAAGTGCAGAGAATATGTATAAAAAAAAGAAGAGTACAACTGTACAATCTTGTTATGCCCAAGTTACCTGTTCCCTCAGCTTGTTCTTTACTGGGAGCCAACCCCAAATAATTGGGACAGTGCTTGGTTTGGTTTGGTTTTTTTTTGTTCTATCTTAGGAGGTTCTTTTTCCTTTTTCAGTGAATATTTCTCACTCCGCTTATTTAAGTTATATGAACTCTAAGCCCTCATAAATGATTTAGCTTTTTCTTTGTGCTTTGTTGACTCGTATATTTATGTAATTGTGCTTCAGATTTCACCATGGGAGAGGATGATATGATTGTAGGTGATGAACTCACAGAAAAAGTTTTGAATAGGGATCTGGAACAACAGATTTCCAATGCAATAGATCCATCCTTTCTTCTACAGTTGGTATGCAAATGTCAATCCTAACATTTTCTTCGTTAAAAAGATACTAAATTATAAAAATAAGCTATTCTGTCTCATAAGTGTGAATCAAATTTTTTAGTGTTTTGTGCTTCTGCAGACTAATGTTTTGTTTGGAGGGTTTTCATGCATCAATGGGTCATATAAAGGAAGACCTAATGATAAAGATGTCGCAGCTGTTGGTGCAGCTTGCGCTTTTCTGCATGTGACTTTCAACATTTTACCCCTTGAGCGAACTATGACTGTTCTAGCTTATAGAACAGAGTTAGTTCATGTGCTCTGGAACTTCATGAAAAGATGTCATGAGAATCAAAAATGGTCATCCTTGACTGAGCAATCAAAATATTTGCCAGCAGATGCCCCGGGTTGGCTATTACCTTTGGCAGTTTTCTGCCCCGTGTACAAGTAAGAATGTTGCTTTATATATTCTGTTTGATGTTCATATGTGTGTTGCGGTCTAAGTCAACTTATACAAGTTGAGAGAACTAATATAACCCCCTTCTCTGGTGGATCAGGCACATGCTTATGATTGTTGATAATGAGGAGTTCTATGAGCAGGAGAAACCACTGTCACTAACGGATATCAGCTGCTTGATTGTTATCCTTAGACAGGTAATTTCTTGTTATGTTGAAATCTGCAGATCAACATATCAGCAGTAGGAAGACATGGAATTATCACATTTTCATTCCTGTGATAGATTTATATCATGTCCCTGTGGAGAGGAAATTCATGTGACTATTTGTAGTTGAGCGTCACTAGTTCGATACAGCAGTTTGTAAAAACCAAGAGGTTGTGTCACTTTAGGTAATTATATGTATTCCTGGTGTCATGTCTGTAAGTCACCCATGATATTTTACATTATAAATAGTGTTATATTCTACTTCGCATCGTGTCGAATGTGAAGGGGAAACTCTAGTATTTATTCATATGATAGATAATACGTAGTGTCAGGCTGTGTCAGCACCACCAATTTAACATGTCAGTTCTTAAAACTGGAAGTGGTGCCTGCCACCTTCAAATAGTTTAACATGTCTGACAACAATCGTAGGAATTGGCCTTTGAAGTCATTCATTATTCAAAAGATTAATTTTATATTGATTTTCTCTGATATGTCAATGCAACGAACAGTTTAATGCATGCATTTGTTATTTTCTCAGGCCTTATGGCAGCTCCTATGGGTGAATCCAGTGCCGATCCCTAACTTTGTGAAGTCTGCAAGCAGTGTCTTTGCTCTGAAAAAGCATCCTGTAGAATTTATTCAGTATAGGGTTAGCATTGTAGCTTCTGAGCTTCTATCACAGGTACATATGCTTTCATTGTGTGGAGCTTAGATCTGATTGTCTGAGAGAGTGAGGTTTCATTTATCACTGTTTTGATGCATGTCTGTTTTATCGAAGTTACATGGGAACAGTATACTTCATTATTTTCATGACTTTTTTCCCTTTTTTGCCAAAACTATTGTTTTAGTTGCAAGATTGGAATAATAGGCGACAATTTACACCCCCTAGTGACTTCAATGCTGATGGTGTCAATGATTACTTCATTTCTCAGGTAATATCCCCTCAATGTGTCGTTAGTAACGATGGACTAAAACATTTGGCGTGTGGTTCTAATTTGAAATCCTCTCTCTCCAGGCTATGATAGAAAACACTAGGGCATACGACTTACTAAAACAAGCTCCGTTTTTAGTGCCATTTACAAGCAGAGCTAAACTATTTAATGTGAGTGATTAACTTGTTACAAGTCTCTGCCTCTGATTTGTTTCTTCAGAAGGTCTCTGGCTTTGGTTTTTGTTTGACTACTTTGTTTCATATTATCCCTGACTATTGTTTTGAATTTGTCTACCAGACCCAGTTAACTGTAGTGAGGGAAAGGCATGGGTCTCATGCTGTATTTACAAGAAACCGATTCAGAATAAGACGGGATCATATTTTGGAAGATGCCTTTAATCAGCTGAGTGCGTTATCAGAACAGGATCTTCGAGGACTGGTATTGCCTCTATTTTTACTTGTGTATCGATTGTTATAAATTTAAGGGTAATTAAATAGGAACCGATTTGAGCTTACGACTGGTCACAAAATGCCCTCAACTGTGATTTGTGACCGGAAATCTTGACACACTCAGATTCAATTCAGAGATTCAATTCCTCAGCAAATCAATGTCTCTTTCACTAAATTTCAAAGTCGAAGTAAAACAAAGTCTTTGCAAATCATATCACAGAATTTTGCTGATTGATCACTGGATTTTGTCCTGGGTGGGTGTGTGTCATGCTTGTGTGACGTTGTTGGGTGAGTGCTAGGGGTAGATGGGTATCGTTTTTGTGGGGTGGTGGGTGGGGTGCTGTGTGTGTGATATGGTGGTGGAGCAAGAAAACCAATGAGGGTAAAATGCCATTTTAGTTGTCAAAACTTCAATCCTAAACATCTATATTCTGATAACTGTAGTCTCAGTGGCATGCAGTACACAAGCTGTTAAATGTGGCAGAAAGTGTTAGCTTTGCACTTTGGTCTCATGTTGGAGGAGGTTTAGTGTCACAAATCACAGTTGAGGGGGTTCATGTCTAACTTGATTCCATGTTCAAAGGGGTCCCATGTAACTACCCATGCATCTGTATTAGTTCAAAGGGGTTATCCTTTATGTACTATTATCACTCTCTGCCGTTCACATCCAGATTCGTGTTACTTTTGTCAATGAATTTGGAGTTGAGGAGGCTGGTATTGATGGTGGTGGGATTTTCAAAGATTTCATGGAGAACATTACTCGAGCAGCTTTTGATGTACAGTATGGATTATTTAAGGTAGTAGCCTCTCTTCTTCGCTCGCACACACATTTACTCTCTGCACACACCACACTCTCTTGCTTTATGTATAATATATAGTGTATATAATACATATATTTCTTTCTATACAGCTGCGGAGCCAGCTTAGGCTTAGGGGTATGTATGGTTTAGGAACCATAATTTTGTTCAACTTACAACTTTTGCCCCCCTTAAATTTTTAAAAATTTGTATATTAATCTTAATATGTTTTTTTCCAATAATGGTCCCTAAAATAAATGTTATATTTTTTGATTGAGTAAGCACATTATAATTTCCTAACCTGTATATATATTGATCAAAACAATCATCTCTTCTAAGAATCTGTAAACCAATAATTTAGATGCAACACTTAAAAATATTGTAAATTTGTAACCCAAGAATATTTTTTGTTGTTTCAAATAATCAATTTCTCAACAAGTTAGAATTTTGTTTCACAACTAAATGGAGGATGATTTTATCACAGGCTCTACGATTGTATATATTGAAAGAAATTTTGTGAGAAATTCAGTTTAGAATTAATCAATCATAGAAAATTTTTGGGATTTGAAAGAACATTGTGTTCCACTTTAAGATATGTAGTTGATAGTTGAAATGTAATAAGCAAAAAATTATTGTTATTATTATTTTCAGATTTTGTTTAGGCTAAGATAAAAGTTGTTTTTGGTGTATTATACAGTAATTTAGTCTTCAACTTTTATATATATTGTTTTTGTTTGAACTTAGTTTTTGTTTGTATCAGCTAATGAATTGTTTTTACTATATTTTGCCCTCCCAACCCATAATCTTGGCTCTACCCCTGTTTCTATATATCCATCCAACTATCTTGCTCACATATACTGCTAAAAGAAAACCATTTTCATAATTGGCTTGGTATATATGCACTTTTATCATCAACTGAGAGCCATTTGTATTCTTTTTTCTTCAAATAATCAATAATTCAAAATTTGAAGGACGAGTCCTTTCAATGCAGATAGGATGTGTAAGCACAAAAAGAGAAAACCAGCCAACACAACTTTTACAAATCTGTATTGTTTCAAAATTCAATATATAATATCATATATAATGCTTATTCTTTTGTAAGCTTTACTTTGTCAAAGTTACAAGTCCCTTTTTTGGGTGGTTGGGCGGTTGGGCTTGGGCTGGGGGAATTAACCTTCCCCCATACCAGTGTGAGAAAACAATGGAAACCTAATGGGGAATTAACTCCGAGAAGGCTCTAAAAGAAGGGGAACATTATGTTGTTTTTTGCCTTCCCATTGCCACAAACCTTCACATACTATTAGGTAAGGATCAAAATTTTGTTTCGGTACATTGTTTTAATCACCTATAAAACAGAAACGTTTTGACATGTTTCGGAAATATTTCGACCAGTTTCGAAAACAGATTGAAAAAAATTAAAAAATTTAAGAATTATTTTTTCAAAACATTGGTCAAAATATACTAAAATATCTTGAAATATTCAGAAATAATTGTGCAAATGCATTGAAATATAACAATATTTTAAAAAATTATGAAACACCTCGAAATATTGGAATTTCGATTCTATCAGTCTCCTTGTAAACGAAAACGTTTCGGTTATTTCAACCGTTTCGAAATAATATTTTAATCCTTGCTACTAGGATGCTATGTCTGTCGGAAACAATTACATCAATCCCTCTCCTACTGAATACCAAAACTCTAAATTATAATTCCTAATCTAATCTACCACCACATTAATAGGTAAATACTACCCAAATTAATAAATAAATCCTAAATAATAAACAAAATCCCATAAATCTGAAATAATAAAATAATATTGAGATAAATTCCCAGATCCTAATCTCCATTTGAATCTTCATTTTACTTCTTTATGATCCCAAACAATTTGTCCCACCCTCTTTGAATCGTGATGAAATTGAGGTCATCCGTCTTTGGAGTTCTAATTTTGATACCATATATTAAATATACCTTGGTGTTCTGTGCTCTGACAATGACTTTGATCTAAAATAGATTAAGCATTGTATACGTAACATCTGCATCATTGCAGAGAAAGGCCTAGCCCAGTTGCACATCAGGGTACCGTTTGAAGGTTGACTATTTGAGCACTTGGGTAGTTTAGATTAATCCCTTCTGCATTAAATTTTTCATCAAGCCACTCAAATTTCAGAACTTGAATTTTAATTGAAGGGGAATTGATTATTATTGAGGGAAGAAGCTATTTTACATGTACTTTTAAATTGTTTGGATTCTTAGGATTGACATCACATGAAAATGCATTTGGTTATGAGTAGCCATGCTCACATTTGGGTTCAACCACTTTAGCCTTCTGTAACAATTGCTTCCCTTAGTTTTGAGATCTAGCTTCAAACCTAGAGGAGGCAATCATTTAGTCTATTGAAAAAATAACTATCTAAAAGTCAAACATGCTCAACATGGTAGTTGGTGAAAAGAAAAGCATATTCTTACTTTTTTCTATTAATTTCTTCCCCCGCCCCCTTTTCAGTTGTAGGACTCCTTGTCCTCCTATATTTTCTCTTGTTCTTTACCACAATATTATTCCCTTATTTCTTTTAGGAAATTTGTGAATTCATTCTATTGGACCATGATATGTTGTTCATCCAACAAAATTTTATATTTTATTGGTTAATGCTGGCTTGATATCTCCAGGAAACAGCTGATCACCTGCTCTATCCCAATCCTGGATCAGGATTGATACATGAACAGCATCTCCAGTTTTTTAATTTTCTTGGAACTGTTCTTGGAAAGGTATGATGCTTGCCTTTGACATGTACTCGGCATATGGTATTTTGAAGATTGATGAATAACTGCATGCTGTTTGTGTATCCATGCCTAAATTTTAACAAAAGCACAAGAAATGGCATACATGACTGTGACAATGACAGACCAGGTTGTCATCATGTTCTGGTCGGTTAAATGAAGTATCAAAACAACTGTTGAATTTTCACCTTTGTAATCTTACGTTCTGCAACTTGAGGAGAATATGGTATTACAAATGAAAATAAGATATTCCAAAAATGTTTGGTCCTTCCCAATAAATTGGTTCAGTTTGCCTTAGTAGTGAACTTATTAAGGCAAAGATTAGGTCTCACAGTGTGCTGTGATGTTATGTGCTTATAGCTTCCTGCTTGCACTTTGTCCCAAATCGACAGAATGGTAACATAGATGCACAAAAAGCATGTAAAGGAATTTTGGCCTCTTCATGTTATAAAAAATACATAATCGAATTTGGACAACAGTGCATTCATCCGGAGGCTATAAGCACATAACGTCATGCTAAAATTAGAGAGCTAATGGCGTCACAAAGTTCTTACAACCGACCCCTAATATTTGGGGTAATTTATAAGAATTGGTGTTGCATTGTAGGTACTTTGCTGGTAATGAAATAAAAGAAAGATTGCCTCATGAGGTTGTTCGTATGGTATTTATTTGTATTCATTTATTGTCCTTATGTCATGAGTCACTTGGAATTATTGACTGCTCCAGCCTCCCCTATATTTATCTCAAATATCTTTCTTGTGCTAGTTTCCACTTTGTTCAAAGTTACTGCATTGGAGGAGCCTCTTAAATTGAAAGTCATGTGCCTTGTTGTCTGACTTTATGTATTGTACCCATCTCCTCTCAGATTTGCTCACATAGTATTATTGTTCTCTATTGATTTTGTTCTTATCATAAATGCCATCTTTCCTGTTGTTTCACCTAGTGATTTAGTTTTAGAATGACTAATAATTGGCTTAAATTTCATCTGTTGCGGGTACATGATAGTGGGACATTGTGTCACTTTCTTATTGTCGCAGGCAATGTTTGAAGGTATTCTTGTTGATATACCATTTGCAACATTCTTTTTGAGCAAATTAAAGCAGAAGTAAGGTCTCCAAGATGTTTCCTGTACAATTTAATGTTTATAAAGTAACTTGGCATTGGTACCTTTGTTTGTGCTACAACCTCCTTATGTTTGGTTTACTGTATTGTTATGAAGTCTTTAATGTCAAAAAATTGTTACGCTTTATAGACTTACCCTGAAACATGACTAATTGTGAAGTAATTGACAAGGGAAATTCCTAATTTCGGTTTGGACTGTGATCAAATTATCTTTAAAGATACTCTCTGTTGAGAGGATACCTCTTATGATGTGGAGGACATAAGAAGAAACATTACATTGGTAGATTTTGGGGATTGACTGTTTCCTGCTTGTTTTGCTGAAGGTTCATGCCTTCCTTTTGCACCAAACAAATGCAATATTTTCTTTCTTTACTGGTTAAGCAATGAAAGAAAAATTAAACAGCCCAATAAAATATCACCTGTATGTTTCAGTCTCTTATCCACTAGACTTTTACACAGGCCCTTCAAACTGGGGTGTCATAAGAGAGCTCTGCTGTGGCGCCTCCATTGATAGCTTGCAATATGAGAATGAAGAGTACATTCAAGCTTTAACAAAATAAAAGCATAAATTTAAGCTGTTTTACTCCAAGATAATGGTTTGAGAGTTTCATATGGAGTTATCAATTGCTTAAAAAGGAGAAGAAAGAAAGTAACAAAATCAAAATGCAAGAATGTCATGCATTGATGTCATTAGAAATGATAGCAATTTCTACAACTGAAAATTTTGATAAATTTACTCAAAAGACGTGAAAACATGGAGCCGTATTTTGAGACGAGAATGTCGGCTAAGTTATTCCAATTAAGTGTGAGAACGTGGGTTCAAGTTTGAGAGGAGTGAAAGGAAAACTGCATTTATCTAGAGAATCTGTTTCTTCTGTTGATTTTCTAACGGATGTGTAAGTTTTATGCTCTCATGTATTGCTGCTTAAAACTTTTCCTAACAAATAAAGCTAAGGGAAGTGGGTTTTAGGGATGTGAAAAGATTTAGGCCGAGGGAATATTGGGATAACTGAATTTTCGGCTAAATTCAAAGATGGGTTTAGTGTGAAATGTGGTGTTCACTATTGAAGTTTCAGTTACGTTTTCCTGATGTAGTTCACACATCAGAATGACTTACACACATATCTGATTTTGGCATGTCCATAATTTTGCTGCTCAGGTACAACTACTTGAATGACTTGCCTTCCTTGGATCCAGAATTATATCGCCATCTGATTTTCCTGAAGGTGATGTGTCATTGTCTCCCTCCTGCGTGCTTCTTTTTATGATAGCTAAGTTTTATCCTTAGGCCTCATTTGGTTCGCTAGATAAATAAATTCAAAACAGTACTTCTTACATTATCACAGTTAGAGTTCCAAACAGTTGCAGTAATAAGAGTTCCATTATGTTTTTCAGTTTGATTTTTCTTGTTGCCAACCATACAAATTTACGGCATGTTAGAACATAGGGTGGAAAATGGGCTAGTGCCCGTTTTGTTTTCCATTGCATCGATGGTGCAAATTTATTTTCTGGATTGATTCTGAGTAGCACGGAGCTACTTAAATGGATGATAGTGTGTTATGGAATCATGTCAGCCATCTATTGAGTATGACTTTTAGTCATGGAATGCTGCATTCATTTTAAAAGCCAATCCCTTTTCCTAGATTTGAAACAATTTTATATCAGTCATGTGGCTATGTGTGCTTTGTAACCTCATTATTTTGCCAATTTTGACTGCCATGTACAGCATTACGAGGGTGATATCTCAGAGTTAGAATTGTACTTTGTTATTCTTAACAATGAATATGGGGAGCAAACAGAAGAAGAGCTGCTTCCACGGGGAAAAGACATACGGGTTAATAATGAGAATGTCATCACATTTATTCATCTTGTGGCCAACCATCGTTTGAACTTTCAGGTAACGTGGCTTTTATTCTCTCTTTAGTTTATCCAACTCCTTCGAAAAACCTTTTTTTTGTTATTATTACTGATTGTGACATCTGTATGTCTTACCATTATTTCTAGATACGTCAACAAAGTTCTTATTTTCTGAGAGGGTTTCAACAGCTTATTCAGAAAGATTGGATTGACATGTTTAATGAGCATGAACTTCAGGTATTGTGATCTGTCGTGGAAAGATATTCAAATTGCATGGGGTATACTTAGATTGAAAGGCACAATTATTTTTTTCTTACTATTTGATTGGGAATGTGAAATCAACTGTAGGACTTGTCTCTACTAGTTTAAGTTTTGCTTATAATAAGTTGTTAATAGGGTAACAGAGCCTGTAGGTTCTATGTTCACCTTGTCATCCTCGAATAACGTAAAATTTTATTGCATGGAAATACAACTGAAGGTATGACCAGCGGAATTGTTGAAATGTTTTATTACTCCCATCTCTTTTAGCTTAATTTCCATGGTAGTCGTATTTTAAGATCGAGGATGCAGTATTTATAAAAACATATAAAAACCACCAACTGTTTACAATTGTAGGTACTATGTATCCTATATATATCGTTTTAGATCAAACATAATGAATGTGCATATCCATGTCAATTAATATTATGCCCAAGAAGTTGGGCTGTATCACTGTTGAATTTGTAGATATATCTCCCACACTTGCAAGAATTAGCACACTTGATTACATGTCATTTATAAGTTACTCGGTGGGAACCCTCGTGATGTGTGGGACAGTTTGTTGGCTCCAACTGGGGAGTAAAACCATCTTCCTTGTAAGATGCCAAAATTTATCAGAGTATTTTTACAATTTTAAAGAGAAAAGAAAATTATGAAAAACGAAAAATACGTTGCCCTTGAAATGTCAGATGCTAAATTTTGGTATTCCCTCAATCATAGTTGTCAAATCAAGATTCATATCGGGAATTGGAATCCTAAATTTGAGAATCGTGAATTGTATCGAATCGTGAATCGTAAGATTCGATATAAAATTTGAACAAAAATAAAAATAATATCTACATATTTAAAATAGACAAGATATTGAATATTGAATACAAATGCATTCTAAAAATAATCAATTGACATAATCACGTCATCTAAATGCAAAGACGCTAGTCTTTAGCTTCATTTTTATCTTTTGCTTAACTAACAATTTTCAAATTCAATAGCATGGAATATATGAACCTGGAGGTCTACACATTTTTATATCACCCATTACAGTATACTTCCAAGTGAAGAAATTTTAGTTTTTCGGTAAAATCTTCACTAACGAATATTCAATCTCATTTCCATTCACATGCAGCTATTTAATTTTTTTGTTTGCCATCTTAACTTTAGGAGGACGAAAAAATGAGCACATTGGGAAAGTTGGAACTTAAAAGGCAGTGTAGAATTGAGGATTTCACTGTGAAAGCACATTAAAATTGCTGGTCATGGTTACATTTGCATCAAATGAAATTTTGAATCTGATAAAAGATAAAAAAAAAGAAGTTATTTTCATTTTCGTATAGTCATTATCCAAAATGATGTATTTAGGCGCCTACTTGATGAAATGCAACTAATTTTGCCTACCAACTTGTGGGTTTGTCATAATTAGGGTATTAATAATGCTAAAATGTGTTAGACTAAAACAACAATGATGATTGTTGGTACAAGTATTGCTGACTTCAAAGGTAAATTCAAAATTTTTCTTTTGTTTTAATTGGACTCGATATTAAAAGTAGCAAAGAGCTTAAGCCATGAAATATGGTTTCTTATTTCATAAGAATGCCCACTTTGCAGAATGAAAAAATTTCAAAATTAAATGATAAATAAATTTACTTGATTCCTTTTTCTAGGGAATTAAAAAGAGATGGAGTAATTAAGTCAATTTCTTTGCATGTTCACTTGTAATTTTGTATTATGTTTAATATAATATGTTTTTTCCATAGTGCTTTAGTGCACACAAATTTATGATATCACATACCTGATAAAAAATCAAACTTCAATTTTGATAGTAGGTTCAGTTATATTTATGATACGATGAGGTTTACAACTTTTTATGTGACTTTGCTTGTTTAATTTGTCTCTTTTTACTCTTATATAATTCTTTTACACAAATATTCAATGGCAAATTTTTCGATTTTAATGAAAGGGAAGCCAAGGGGTAGATTTAACGCATATAGGGGACTTAAACAGGGTGATCCTTTGTCATTTTTTTTGTTCACTTTGGTGGTGGATAATTTGATTAGGTTGATAGAAAGGGCAGAAAGGCATAACTTGGTTGAGTGATTTGTTATATAGAGGGAAATGATTAGAGTATCTAATTTGCAGATGATACTATATTATTTTCATAAATTAAGTAATTTCAAAGTGATTGTTGATCAGTTTGAAGTGATTTCAAGGCTTAAAGTTAAAATGAAAAAAAACATTATTGTGAGAATTAAGTCTAGATTGGAAATGGTTAATAGAGTGGTTGCGGAGTTAGGGTGTTTGGTGGGTGAGTGGCCACTACAATACTTACGACTCCCTTTAGGCAGTAACCTGATATCAAAGACTTTTTGGAATCATGTTTTTGAGAAAATTGAAAGGAGGTTAGATGGACGGAAGAAATCTTTTATTTCTTAAGAAGGGGGATAGATTAATAATGAATCAGTCAGTTTTGTCTGGTATCCCTATATATTTCACGTCACTTTTTAAAATGCTTACAGTGGTGATTAGAAAAATTGTAGGTTTAAGGAGTGATTTTTTGTAGGAAAGGGTAGGAAGGACCATTCGATTCATTAGGAGGTGGTAACTGGACCAAAAGATAAGGAAGGATTTTCAATTTGAAATTTATTGAATAGGAATGATGCTTTGGTTGGAAAATGACTCTAGAGATTCCTTTTGGAGCAAGATTCATTGTGGCATGTTATTATTAGAAGTATGAATTACAGACTAATGGGTGGGATGCTACTGGGGTTGAAAAGGGTACTTTTCGGAGTTCGTGGAAGTTCATTTCTTAAAGAGTCAATTTCATTGTGGGTGATGGAATCAGAATGCGTTTTTGGAAGGACATATATGTTTGGGAGTTTTCTTTCTCCTCCTTCCATGATTGTATCGTGTCTCTTGTTATCAAATCCGATTGATTGCATAAATGGCTCAGTCATATTCTAATTCTCTTTCTTGGGGTTTTTATTTTCATAGAAATTTCAATGGTAGGGAATGTTCAGAGTTGATGATTCTGCTTTCTATGCTTAATAATGTTTTTTTGATTCAAAACTTTGAGGATAGGAGGTATTGGATTGGTAGTTCGACGGAGTTTTCTCTTGTAAATCCTTTTTCGAGTCTTTAATTGATAATCCATTAATTCCTTTTTTGAATCCAGTAATTCCTCTAATTGATGATTTGGAGGGTAAGGGTGCCTTGACAGGTGTATGTTTGTACATGGATAATTTCTTAGCGAAGATTAGTACTAATGAGGTTCTACAAAAGAGGAAACAAAATCATTGCCTTCAACTGCAATGGTGTGTAATGTGTAGATGTGAAAATGAGTGTGTTGATCAGCATTTTTTGAATTGTCCTTTGGCAAGACGCTATGGAACAAGTTTTGTGATTTTGTGGGCTTTTCTTGGGTTGCTCCAAGGACTGGTTTCTGTGTTCTGCATGGACAATGTGGATTTGAAAGGAATAGTAGATGGTGGAGTATTTGGTATTATGCTTTCTTTGCTACACTTTGGGTGATTTGGAAGGAAAGAAATGTGATGATTTTTTAGGATAAGAGTGAAGTGCTAGAGGGTTTATGGGATTGAATCTATATTTTGGCATCATTTTGGGCCTCAATATCTAAGGATTTTGAGACATTCCTGTCTTTTCTATTAAGGCAAACTGGAAGGCATCGTGTGGCTTGTAGTTGTTCACTGCTTTTTATGTTTTCACAGTCTGTATTTGTGTTGGACTGCTTGTCCACACTTGTTTTGCTTTTATTTTAATGATATATTGATTATCGATAAAATTGTGATTCTGAAAAAGCATTCAATGGCTGCTGCAAGTTTCTGCAAACTTTCTGAGTGAGCTGGCATAGAATATGTTTCTTGATATATATATAGATACACACACACACACACACATATGTATGTAATTTTTTGACATATCTTTCTTCATCTTCATAATTATCATCTTCTGCTGCCTCTTTCTCTCAGCTTCTTATATCAGGAGCAATTGATGGCTTTGATGTTGATGACCTTCGATCTCATACAAATTATGCAGGTGGCTATCATCGTGTAAGTTCTTTTGAATAAGTTTTGTTTGTTTGTTCTTTTTTCCTCTTTTTGGTTTATGTGATAAATTGTAAAAGTCGGAAAGGTTTTAAAAATTCTTTATAGAGACTGCTGTAGATATTTTTTCAGCCATTGTTCCTCTACGGTTTTCGTCCTGGTTTCTTCATGATTCAGTTTACTGGATTTGACATGGTTTGTAGTGCCTTCCCCCCCTCCCTTTTTTTTTCCTTCCCTTTTTCCATTATTGTCTGTTTTTGCTCTTTGGAGGGCTGAGGTAACAGATCAGGGCTGACAACCCTGAAAACACCTAGAGGCTGAAGCTGAGCCCAATAGTAGGCGTGAACTCCATATGCCCAACAATTTGCTTTTATGTAAGCATGACTGCATGAGTCACCTTGTAGTGCCAGCCTCCCCCAACACTTATCTGAAATGCCTTTGCTATGGTCAACTCAGATGGTTTTCCATACCTGCTTATTTGAGTACCTGCAAGCTAAGTGTATATATACATGACCTGCATTAAATGGTTGCAATCGTAGTGTGAATTTAGGTAATTCTTTATTTTCCTGGGAAGCAAAATGTTATTTCTTTTGATTTCAGATGGCAACCAAACTGCACGTACTTTACACAGTTCAGAGGCTAGATTAAGACCTCTAGATCAAGATATCTTTGTGAACCTGTCTATTTGTCTAAAATGTGCTTTATAGCACTGTGGTCTATCCCAATAACTTACTAGAAATGCTTATGGTGAAGAGTGTTGGTTTATTAATGTTCCTGTTCTTAGCTTTTGTTTTTTACGTAGCGCTTTAGCCTTTTTGGCAACTGCACATCTAATTCTCATTTCTTTTGACAGGAGCATTATGTTATTGAGATGTTTTGGGAAGTTATCAAACACTTTTCCTTGGAAAATCAGTGCAAATTTTTGAAGTAAGCTTAATCGTCAATTATGTAGTTCCCAAAACCATCCGATGAGTAGGCTATATAAAATTATATAGTTTCTGATGGTCTTGTGACTGCATCCCAGTTGCTCTCTCCCTTACATCATTGCTTCCTGGATTTCATATGCATTTTCTTTAGATGTTTTAGTTGTTTTTTCTTTTGTTGTGTTTTTGGGCCAGGAAAGGGGGGGGTGGTTGAATAAAAAAAGGATATTCATATCTTTCTTTGTGCCTCTCTTAGTGAGCAATATGTAGGAAGGGATCATGCATATTACCCTGACAAATGATGCTACATAATAGGATTCACACATTCTTTGTTTGCTTATGTTACCAGTTTGCTATGCCCAGGTTGTGGCACCCCCCAAAAAATAAAGAAAAGTATTTTGTTGCTGTCTTGTAATATGTGCAGTTACGTATCAAAAACAAAAGTAAAAAAAAAAAAACTGTTTGATTCCTTGAATTTTTTCCTGGGGTGTTGTCCCATTAATATTACCTCCCAAAAAATGTTGAAAGAAAACTTCCCTGACGTAGTAGATAATTGTAGGGTTGTTCCACTGTTATATTGTAGATTTTTGCATTATGATGAAATTGGTTTTACTTAGCTGACACCAAATGTTGGTTACTTGGGAAATCAACCTTCAAAGGGGCTGCAGCAATTTTGTGCCCTACATTGAATTTGCTTATCCAATTCCAAACAGTCAATGTTCTCCAGCCTAGGAAAGAAGCTTGTGGACACTATTAAAAAACTAACATATCCTTTTTGGACAATGACACTTTTCGAGCACTTTCAGATACGTATCTAATACTCTTTGAGCCATGCTAATAATTAAAAGATAAATCTTATTTTTTGGACACCTGTCCGGCAATCCTTTGGTAACATGTTCGACACTTCTTTAGGCTATGTCAACGACTAGAAAATAAACATGTTCCTACTAATCATATGTAGCTAACAGAACTTGTGAAATTCACAAATGAGTATTTGATTTTGTAAAAGTACAAATAGTTGATTGGACTCATCATATTATATTTTTATCTAAAATTTTCTAGGACAAGCAAAAAATGCATAAAAGTTTTACTAAAAAGGATGACTTGAGAAGATGAGAGTAATCGTTATAATTGTGTGTGTTTTCTATAATTTGTCTGCAAAAAAACATTTATTCTTGACTATTTTGATCCATTAGTTTAAAAATTAATAGTAGAGTGCTAGATGTAAGATATAAATTCCTGGAGTACTTTTTTTTCTATATTGTATTTATACATATTAATATTAAAACAATTATTTGTAGGCCATCTCCGATATGTATTTGTTTTACCTGATAAGAAATGTCATGTCGTGTCCGTGGACCATGCCCAAATCCGTGCTTCTTAATAATTCCAACTCGCTATAAATTTATCGCCTGGCATCCGCAACGGCCTTTTCATAGGCCACACTTTGAGCAATGTTGTGTAGCTTTTTACCACAATCGACCATAATCTGAAAGAGTTCAATGAAAAACTGCATTGAGCATGAATCCTGGGGATTTAGCCCAAAGGTTTGGAGAAACCTGGAAGTGGATACCATTAGATGAAATAATGAACTTGCAGGAGAATGAGGAAAAAGTTTCATTAAACTGATATGACTAATGTGACTGCAAAGAGTCAAATAACGAAGAGGAACATTTAGGTCTATTAATTGTTCTGGAAAATGCAGAGAAATGTTTCTACAGTAGCACTAGGCTACCCAAAAATTTGTAGCATTTTCTCCTTTCAGTGTTTTTAAGTTGGCCTAAGGTTTCCAAAAGGGGGAACCATCGCTATTGGAGTGCAGGTGGGATGATATCATGTTAGGCATGGTAAATTTTCAGTTTTATCCCATTTCATCTTTTTTTTTTTTTTTGGGGGGGCGGGGGGAAGTGGGCCAACCCCAGATCTTTTACTTCTCATTCATGTTGGAACAGCCATACGATCAACTTAATGCAACTTAAGCTTCTTTAGCTGGTCCTTGCACCTAATTTGAATCTATTTTTTTTAACAATGTTGCTATTATAGGTCCATTGCTCAACAATTTAGTCTATTTGTTGGACAATGTGCGATATATATTTTGGGTTTGTTGCTCTGCACTAATGGAGTGGTATGCGTTCACAGAATCATAGCTAGACTAGACTTCACTTGCTTTGATATTTTATGTATGGAAAAGCAATGTCATAATTACTTCAATTGAATAGGTTTCATGACCTATTGGAAAGTAGAGTAACTGACTTTTTTCTTCACCCCCATTTTTTCTCCGAAGGTTTGTGACTGGGTGCTCTCGAGGACCCCTGCTTGGATTTAAATACTTGGAGCCTTTATTTTGCATACAGAGGTAAAAGTCCAGAACTTTGTGCTCTTAATCTGACATCTTTACTGAAGTTCTCTTGGTTTGCATTCCTTTTTTTTTCTCTCTCTATGTAGCTTTTTATATGGATGCGTTCTTCTCACTATTCTTATAGGGCTGCTGGTAGTGCTTCTGAAGAAGCTCTTGACCGGTTACCAACATCGGCTACTTGTATGAATCTGTTAAAGCTTCCTCCATACAGAAGGTTTGTCCCAGTTCTGGTATTTTGCATCAAGGATAATTTTTTCTTCAGCATTTCTTTTATTTTCCCTGGAGATGTATTGCTAATGTAAGAAACGTATATGTTTCTATGTAGTCCCATATGTTCTCAACTCAACAAAAGCTTATTTCAGACTACTAAAGTTGGTTACATGAATTCTTCATTGCCATTCAAATTTTAGTTAGAACTGCATCATCTCTCGAAGATAATGGCCCCATAGTCATGAGCTACTATAGGCATTCCCAAGCATGTTGCTTAATGACTAATGAGTGTTTGCTGGAGTCGTGTAAATTTTGTGGGCCTCTTGACAGTTTTTTGGGTTGTCAATAAATAATCCAAGCAGGCAGTACTAGTCCCAGAATGTGCTTATCATTTTAATGGAAAATTCTGATTTTCTGCCATCTTGGTGCAGATTTATGATCCTGAAGAATGCCCAAATCTAGTAGCCAACATATAGGAGCGCACAACTTTTATTAAACGAGAAATTTTTATTATCAGAGCAGATTATCCTCCTACAATTGTAAATTTGATTTGTGTATGAGACTGATGTTCACCCATGTGCTCTGATCTTGTCTTAGTCTATCTGCATATGAAACCTACTTATTAAGTTATTAAACTGGCATCCAGTGAATATCGTTTATACGACTTTTTCCTTAGCTAATTTTAACTACTCTTGTAAAATTTGTTCATGATACAGCATAGAGCAAATGGAGCAAAAATTGTTGTATGCTATAAATGCTGATGCTGGTTTTGATTTGAGTTGATGGAGCTCGATCTATTCAGTTCTGCAACATGGTACTATCCTGTTTCACTTGAAGCGAGTCTACTTCTTTGTACACGCAAAACTGAGCTTGCGATTGGTTCACGAAAAGTATCCATGCTCAGATCTATTGAGGACCAACGAGCTACTGAAGATTTTCAAAACGTAGACAGAGAGAAAGGTGCATGGGGACACCATGTACATATAATTCACAACCAACCTGGACGTGTAGATGTTTATGTTGGGTCATCTGCAATGTATATCATCTATCAGAAGTTAGTTACCCACGCAGGACCTCTCAGCAAGTGGGTCTTGTCAGGCATGTCAATAGATTAAAGTTTGAATCAGTTTATTTTGCACTTTGCTTTTTATTCTACTGTACTAGAAGGAAAAAACAATCTTGCTTATGTATGCATATAAGGAAAAACATTAGTTTGTAGACGTTAATTGTGCTTTACTCATGTTTTGGTGTGAAATTTTAACTCCAAGCAGCTCACTGTGCCTGATTCATTAAATTAGAGGTGATATGACTGCCTGTTTGATTAATCCCTATTCTAAAAGCCTGTGCTAGCAACTATCTTTTGCCTATTGGTCATACATTCTATTTTTTTCCTGGTTGTGGGAGGAGATTGGGGGTTGAGATTATATACACTGTAATTTCCATAGATTTATTATTTTATTATACGAGAAGAATATTGCTAAGCGGCCTTGTACAGGTTTTATTCTTTTTGGAAACAAACAGGTGGGTGTAACGATATGTATATATGTTGAAATTGCCCTGGCATGCATGTTAAAATGGTGACTTTCGTTAGTATGTGATGCTCCTATCAGGACTCTTGAACCCGAACCCTCCACGGACAATGCTACACATGCATGTGCTTGGGTACATGAATGTTGCCCCAGTTGAAAAACGGATTCGTTTTAATCGGGTGGTGGTAACATCCGTACTTAGAATGTACCTTATTTGTTTCTTGAACCACATTTCAAATGAATGTCGCAAAGCTGAGACGTTAGAAATTTAGGCGTTAGTTTGTTGAATGAATAATCGATGCAATTTTTTTTCTTTTCTAGTGCCGTTTTTCTGAGTCCCCGAACAGAACAGAAATGACCGAGAACCAAAAGATGAAAGCTAGCAAACATACTTGGGCATAAAAGTAAAGGTTCTGCAAACCGTAATCTCATCTTGGCAAACTTGTACAGAATAATAACACTTAAGATAGAAGAACCAATTCTTAGCCAAAAGGTAACAGGTTCGATATAAGGCAACGCATGGATAGATCATTAAGATACATATAAGCTAACCTCTGTGAAAAGATTGTCAAATGGGAAATAATATCATGTCTCTTTTACAAGCCAGATTTATAAGTACATATTCTCCTTGCATAAATCTAGAATGTATTATAGGATTTCACGGCAACTCTAGAAAGGCAAGCAGTTCAAGGACTAAAGTACAGAACATCATGTTAAGACATAAATCATTACAACATTGAAGGTGTCATATATGTAGCTCAAGCACTTATATAATCTTCCATCCTTCAAAAGAACAGTGAAGTGATTGAAAACAAAAGGGGGCAAAAAGATTGTGTAACTTCGTTATTAATCTTCAGCTGGAGGAATATCACTCAAGTCTAGACCCTCTGCAGGCAAATCTGATGTAAGCGGGCCTAATATTCCATCAGAGTTCAGTGTCAAACCACTCTGCAATAATTGGAAGATGGCACAATTAGGTTCACCAAGATGGGTCAAGTATCTAAGCAAAAAAAATTAACGATATCCCAAATCTCAAAACAGTGGTTATGACCAATAAGTCATGTGATGTACCGAAAAATAATTCTTATTCATTATCCATATCATTTAAGATTTGAAGGCCCCAACAAAAGTGTCGTACAGATCCTATCAGGGATATCATGTTCTCATTGTTGTGGAACCTATCTAATGTCTATCACTACGATTTAACTGCATAACACCAAAATGATAATCTACTGTTTCTATTCGCGAGGAAAAGCAACCTTGCCCAGCACCATTCTTGAGTGCTTGAGATATTGTAAAAGATAATAGTCTGTAATGTTTGCTTACCAACTACAGGAGTGTATCATTTTTATCGGTCAAAGTTTTGTCACAGATGCGCTAACAATCTAAGGGAAAAGACCAATGACATCCATTTAGTTCTTTGTTCTTTCAGCAGAAACTCAATACTGTTCAAGGGGATGGAGGGCGAAAACCTTGATTCTACGGGTTAATAATGTGGTCAATACCCTATCCTATTTCTTTCTTTTAGCTTATTTGGGCCGAGGAAAATTCCAAGCAGAGAACAGCTGAACTATAGAGTGAATACCTCAGGCTGGAATCTTAGCATGTCAGCACGAGCCATGGCTTCTGCTTGAGCAATTCTCTGCCTGAATGTCTGGGCCATCTCCTCTGCCTGTCAAAACAAATCAAAAATTTGTTTAGTTGTGTATGAATTCAAAGACGACCAGAAACAAAAGATAGTCTATGCTGAGAAACAGAAAAGAGTCATAAATTTAAGGAATTAAAATGCCAGCACTATCCAATTGTAAAATAACAGTCACATCAAAATATTTGAAACCAATGTAATTAAGTTACTCTGGAAAGAATAAAAAACCAATATTGGGTCACCTCTGAAAATAAAGAGTTTTGTTAACAAGAATTGGAACTTAGACAGAAATAAGTAGGGCAGAAATAATTACCTTCTCAAACACAAGCTTAGGATTGCGAATCATATCCCCAGGAGTAGGCTCTAACTTCTTTGTGGAGAGGCTTACTCGGCCTCTCGCACGGTCATGGCTCAATATCATCACCTACATATGCGTTAAGAACAGAAACATTAACTTCCCTTATGGATAACATGTTTAGTCAAGACATAACAAAATACTTCTAACACACCTTCAAAGTGTCACCAGGCTGAAGGACGGTCGCAATATCTGAGACGCGATCATGACTGATCTGGCTGACATGCAGAAGGCCATTAATCCCACCAATGTCGATGAACGCACCATATGGCTTAAGGCTCTGAACAGTTCCCACAACGACTGACCCAATTCCGAGTTGTGCCTGACTGTCAGCCATGGCTTTGCGGTTACTGAGGACAAGCCTAGACTGTTCCTCATCTACCTCCACAAACTTAAGAGGAAGCTCTTTTTCAAGAAGCTCTTCAGCACTTGATTTCTGATACATTAAAGATGACTTCATAAAAGCTTCAAAATTCGTTATGTATTTCATGCTGAGAATCATCAGAACTAGATAGAAAATTTACACACACTAGTGGAGAGAAAGAAAGGGGAGAGAGAGAGAGAGAGAAGCACAAGTTATATTTCTGAAAATTTATACAAAACTCTTTGGAAACTTGTCCACTTTATTCATGACATATCTCAGCATCCTCAGCCCCATTGAACTAGAAAACAATATTTCATACAAAATATGTAGCAAAACTTGTCAATAAGATACCTATGATCAAAATCATGTGCAGTAGTTTGTAAGGAATCCGCATTTAGCTTCTTTAAAAAAAAGGCGATTAAATGCAAAATACAGTTGGTGTTTATGCTTTATGAGAGGATAACAAAAATGGGAGTGTTGATGCAAAAGAACACATTTTAAACTGTTCGCAACATTAGCCGGCACATCTTGGCTACAACTATCAAAAGACAACTCTCCAGGATTCTCTATTAAGCCAGACCAATGATTTTGAGTGTGTCTGTGTGTGTGTCAATTTCATGCAGTAGGGTTGAACCACATGCAAACTTAATCATGTGATGTATCACATCAATCCCTATCTAAGGGAACAACAACTGATCATCAATTATAACTAAACTTGCATGCCACCACAAAAATATCGTGATTGCCTTAACCGGAAGCAATATAGTGACCAAAATTGCATGGATGATCAACAGACCAAACTTCCCCTGCTGAAAGGTGGACAAAAGTACTTCTTTCAAATACAGACAATCACATTGTCTTTCGATAGCTCATGGCCGATATCTGGCCAACTGAAACCATTTCAATAGCGTAATCGATATAGCGCCAAAAGTTCATGCTTCTTCCTCAAATTCAGGAAGAGGAACAGAGGATGAGGAACCAATTTTGCAGCTAAAGGAAACCAAAAACAGAACCATTAACTCAGATTTCAAAAATGTACATAGAGTTTACAGATTAGAATAACATGTAATTATCATTAATACAAATACGAAAGCAGGAGTGAAGAACAAACCGTTGATATCTGCGAGAAAGGAACAAACCCACGAAGACCCTCCACCACTGCAACTACTCCACCTTTGTTTGCACCAACAACCTGCATAGATGTTCCATAAAAAATATTAGCTAAATTATTTATCAAACAGTAAAGTTCGAAGGCAAATAATAGGGAATGCTACAAAAAAAACCTACCTTACCCTTGGTAACAACATCCTCAGCTTGAAGTTGTCTACATCTTTCCCATGCAAGATCATACTGGATTGAACGTAAACTCAAGATCAAACTATCATCAGCTTCATTCTCACCAATAATTACAAACTCCTCACGTAAACCAGAAACTATGCCTGCCTCTGCCACATGCTTTATATTGTGAATGGATGCTTCTCTGACAGGTAAGTATGCTGAAGATTTTGCAGTGATGTCAACTAATGCCCCATTAGAATCTACACTGAATACACTTCCCTTGACCTAAACAAATATGAAACATGTTTATGAAGGCAAATAGATATGAATAAAATCTAATTGGTACAAAAAGGAAGTAAAAATTGAATCTTTTTCGTGTCTGTTAGTGCTCTTGTTTCATATTAAAATTGTCTTTCCACTACATTTTGTAACATACACAATACAAGACCATCAAGCAAATCCCATCTTCGAAAAATTAATGTGGTTGGAGATTGCTTGAAGTTCTTTCTACTAATTATAAACGCACACTTCAAAGTTTCCTACCACTCAACTCACTTTTAAACTCTTCAAAAATTGAACCCTCCTTCCGACTTTTTTCTCATAAAACGTCCAATGGACGCAAAACCTGTCTCAATTGGGCCAACTAAAAAGCAAGCTATCTGCTTCTTAGACATCATACAACAATGACGTTTTCAGAAAAACTATTCAACGTGTTCTCATTCCCTAAATTTTATCAACAGCCAAACAGTGCTCAAGATGAGTTCACTGACTTAAATCCACAGAATAACGCATACCCAATGCAAATATAAGAGGATTAAAAAATAATGGTCCATTTAACCTCATACCCATTAGCTATTTTACCTCTTTTTCTCCTTTTTTTATTCGCAAATTCTAACAGAAAATCATCATATACACAATTGAATCGTATTTAAGTATGTATGTACATGTAACAGGCTAAAATGCAACAAACTCCGCTTCATATCTCTAGATATATGCATAAACCTTCACACCCACATGCGTGTAACAGACCTTAGTGCCAATTTCGGAATTGAAGTCGTACTTGTCGAGCGCAGAATGGAAATCTTCCGTAGTGAATGAAAGACCTTCCATAGGGGCAGTACGGCAACGCTCATAGGCATCTTCGAATAACTCTTTGAGCTTGAGTCTCTCTTTGGTCTGTGCATTGGTTAAGGGCACTGCGGAGACTATTCTCAACGAATGAGGCTTCTGAGTGCTCTGCCTGCCGTTTAATTTTGTGGTGAGCTGAGAGATTGAGAGTGGGGAGCATTTTAGCCCACCAAATTCCAGAGCCAGAGACGCCATTTACACATGCACACACAATTCTGTGGTGTTACTCCATTGATATGATATGATCAGATAAGGTGGAGGCTAGAAAGAGGAAGAGGACCGGGCCCACTAAATATTGGGCCAACTGATGCCAGATGGGTCGGTAATTGGACAAAGTAGCCCAAATAAGATACATTATAGGACAGCCCACGGAAACATAGTTCATGGGAAGATGAATTTTTGGGCTGGGATGGCCTGCGAAATTGCAGCCTTGGTCCTAGGTGAGTAATCTAACATGTATTTTCATTAAGGAAATGTAATTGCCACCACAGGCTCTTTTTCTTTTCCGTTTTTTTTTTTTGACTCTAGCCCTAATTTTATAGATTTCAGTAACTACAATAGAAGTTGCAGTTTAACTACTCATGCAACTCCAATTTAACGGATAAATATTTATTATAACGATGATACTATATTATTGATTGTACATTGTGCTACTAACGAATAAGAATACACCGGTACATGATGTTATATGGTTGGTTGATAATATCATTATCACGTGTTACCGATAACGAGATATCACTATTGTAATGAATATTTTCACCAATTTAGTATACCATCAAAGGGCCTAATCCGGGTGGGTGGCTTTGGATGGATTTTAAGAGGCCAATTCTATCTCCCATTCATTCTGAGATCGACTTAATGACAAAAACTATTTATTAGACAGAAGTAACACTCGTTTAAAATTGAGTTCCCATGGTTTTAAACAATACCATAATACTGATAAGGTTACAGATACCTTGTACCCTATTGAAATGGATTTTCAGCCGTTGATTATGGTTTAAATGATCTGTAACCATTAATTGAAAAATCTTAAAAGAGTAACAAAATATAATAAAAGGCATTATCTCACTGGAATTCAGGAGCGAAAAAGTTTCCAGCTTTGCTATAATGAAATGTTAGTTAGCATCAATCTCAATCGCTCAATCATGCAGTAAAACAAACAAGTCATTTCCTTCTTTTTCAGTTCGCCACTAAAACAAACCTCTTCCAAACCATCACCTTACGTAACTCATGTACGCTGATTATGAGTACCAGATAGATTATGTAACACCTGTTTGATCAAAATTGGCAAAGCATATCTTTTCGGAATATTGTTGGTATTGAGAATGAAAATGACATTCACTATCCAAACTATAGCTATAGGGTTCATTTCCGTGCGTCAATTTCTCAAATGAATCAGAAATGGTTACTTCTTTTGGTGCCTACACGTACATGTGTCATGGTGTTTTGTGATCGTCACCGTCACTGTCACTACCCTGAATGATTCATCATACAAGAATTCTTTTTGGATAAGTAGAGAATTGTCAGGTTGAGATTAAAGATCCTCAGGTTCATGGAGCAATGGAATTTTTTCCAAAAGTCGACGCTCAATTAGAGTTGAAGGTCCCATAACTCAGAGGAAGTTGTTCCAAACTAAGTGTCGGTATTTGAACTCTTTTACATGTTGGATTTAATCCTGACTTAAAAGTTATGTTTAAGCTTAAATTAATTGTTCCAAACTTTATATATTATGCCATATTTTTTTCACGATTGAGGGGCGTGAGATGCTTTTTGCATCGATATTCTGAATTAGTGTCTCTTTTTTTTGATTCTGTCTTTATATACTTTGTTATTACTTGGTCATGAGTGGTTCAGTTCCTAAAGAAAGTGCCTTTGTGAAATAATATCTCCATCCCATGCAATTCCTGAAATGAGCTGTAGTAAACGACATGGATGTCTTCATCTTGTATGCAAAGGATATAAAAGTCTCAATTATGTGTGTGGATGAATTTTCACCTATCCTGCAGTGTTTGAAGCGTATGGAAAATTTGATTCTCCAATCGTAAAGACAAATGAAACACGTGGCGTTATCAATTTGATATACAGTTGACAAAGTCTCATCTCGCGATATATTCGAGTGTTCTCAAAATGCTTAATATCTAGAGGGAAAAAGAATGACTTGAGCTCTGGGCATCACTCCAGGAGGTTCCAGATGGTATTGGTACAATATAAGCTAAAGATGTTATCCAACAAAGAGATCAGAATAAACCTCGAGCTACTGTCCTCTTATGACAGCTTAACTTAAAGTGGATCGTTAGAGTTACATGATTAGCGGATTAAATTACAAATGACTTGAATATACTTAGAACCAATCTGACTTTTATTACCTCAATGTCATTAAGGAGAATGACAATTGATGTAAGTTGGACATAATTTAGCTAAGAAATTGATAAGAAGACACAAGGATTCAAGCCCATAATGGTCTCGGACCATTGTAGATAATAGTGGTCCCTAGAAGGAGGTCTTTCACCAGAACTCCTGGAGGGTGCTTCAAAAACAGTAGCTGCACTTGGATAGAGAGAACTCGACCCGCCCCAGCATCCCCTACAATCAAGCTCCTATCCATCCAATTCGGTCTCTATCCTTCACAAAACAAAAGAGGAAATAAAAATTACAAGCACACCACGCTGTCATATATCTTGACAGTCTAGTTCATCTCAAGAATTATAATTGCAAATCGCCCTTCATAGGTATTTGGATAATTAGAAACTGAAATACAGAACCTTATAATTGTGTTGACATGCTGTTGCTGCCGTAATTACAAAAGTTAATGCAATAAGTTAATGACTCTTGCATGGTTAGAAGAATAGCTTTGGATTTGGAAATATGAAGTAAACTGTAAGATACAAACTTCTTATTAAGAAGAATAATCTTTATTTTTAACCTCTTATTAAGATGTAAAATAGCGTCGACGAATGTTATGGATAGGATTTCCATCACTTGGCCATCCTATCCGAGCCCCAAGCCTCCTCCCAACCCAATCCCACTAGTGACTAGCCCACTTCCACCCATCCTACCACCACGGGCATATAATCCTTCCTGCTCTATATAACCCCCTTACCCTCCACCCCCTACCAATTTAATTTATCTATTACTGTTAGAGAGAGAATAGGAAGGAAAAACAAGAGACTAAAACAAGTGGATGCGACAAGTTAAATAAATAAGCCGATTGAACAAATTCTGTAACCCAATTCCACGTCATTCCTAAGGGAAGTCAGAAAATAGCATGTTTATTTTTTAGAAAGTAATCTTTGCACAAAATAGCAGTCAATCATTAAAAAAAAATTATAAATACATAGTAACCAAAACGGCATCGTTTGATAACCCACATTTTTATGTCAGTATATCATCCAAAAATAGTGGAAACGCAGCCCCCCAAAAAAAAAGGATTAAATTTTTTTCTTGCCATGGATCATTGGATGACTTGTGCCAATAATGCAAATTTCTGATACGTGTAATTACTTGTAAACCTAAAAAATGGTACATTAAAACTTTTGTATGAAATTTTTTTGAAATTTGTACGATAATTGAACTTTAAAGTTTGTAATGAAGGATGTATACTATAGACCATGAAAATAAGAAGCAGATGATAAGCTTTCCAGTGGTATTGGATCAAGACAAGAAATGTATAACATGTATATGTGATAATTATTTTGTTTTTATATATAATTTTATTATTGGATAATGATATATCATGTGTTGTTGATGATTTATTAATTTAGTATGATTGATATATCATACAGAAGTATAATAACCTTGTGTCAAGCCATCTTAATTAGCTACATTATAAAAAAAAACATTGAACGTTTGTTATGTTAACACCACTGATTTGGTAATAATAAACCATGCAACTGATTGTAATTAAGACCATTAATTACCGCATATATCAATGAAGCCCCAAAAAAGCAACTTCCTTGTATATTAAATCCATAATTGACCAAAAAAAAGTATATTATATCCATAAACCTTCAGAATCAGACGAAAATATCCCCACTCTGAGCCTCAAAACCACAACCAATCCTTCTGTCGAATCCATAATTAGGACAAAATACATGACTAAATTCGATAATTTCATATTTGACCGCTATTTAAGGGTAGAAAAGAGAAATATCCATGGCCATATCTCACGTACTCGATGATAAACGGACGAAAACAACAGTATATCATTGAAGGGACACATGTCCAATGGAATCAAAATCTTTTTTAAGAAAAGATCTTCGAATTATACGTTTGCCCACAATAGTCTCTTACCTTATGCATGCACAGCAGCACTTCAAAGGTTGTATAAAGGGGTGGCAGGCCATCTTTAATACACACACAGTCTTCAATATATCTTTCTGTGAATCCTTGTTTTCTTTGTCCTTTGAAAATATGTCTACGGAAACCGTTATTGTGAACTGTTCAGAAGTGGGATCGGAGTCAATGGCTATGCCAAAAAGGGCTTATGTTACTTTCTTGGCAGGAAATGGAGATTATGTGAAAGGGGTTGTTGGCTTAGCTAAAGGTCTAAGGAAGGCTAAAAGTGCTTACCCCCTTGTGGTCGCTGTCTTGCCAGATGTGCCACAAGATCATCGCGAGATCCTTGAATCTCAAGGGTGTATTGTCCGCGAGATTGAGCCAGTGTATCCACCAGAGAATCAAACTCAGTTTGCCATGGCGTATTACGTTATCAACTACTCAAAACTTCGTATTTGGGAGGTTTGTGATCAATATTTATTTTTTGGTTGCATGTGTGTTGCACAATATATTGTTACTCATGTTACATATATATTGCGCATAGAGATTTGTTTCTAAAATACAATATAATATTTTTTTTTATTCCGAAATTGCGATTTATCCATTTGCAATCATGTTCATTGTTCATGTAAATACCAAAAGATTTAAAATTGTCAATTTAAAAGTGCAATTATCACCTTTTCTGATATTTAGATTTGACATGCATGCTTTGGTCATAACATGTACCGACGGAATTTGAAAAAGTAAAAACAATAGATCGTTTATAATGAATGTGTTTTCTTCTTTTGTAGCTTAAGAAAAAATATATAAATACTTTACCAATCAGCTTATATATGAAACAAAATTTTGAACCCGAATAATACGTGTTGGGTATTGCATATGTGAGAATCTCATATAAAATAAAAAAAACAAGGTAAACGTGTCATAATATATTATTTACAGACTCACCACATGTAGTCTTAAGTTTTTAGAAGGGTATGAGTTTCAAACATGTATATTAAATCTTGAATTATTGGGCTAGCAGTCTCCCTAGTCCCAAAAATTTGGATTCCTTCCGTTTTCATACTTTCTTGGTCTAAGGTGTTGACGCTACCTTTTAGTTCTGCTATACGGTGTTGAATCAGATCTGTAGCTATATTGATCATATAACTGATGACGTGAGATTTATCGTTGTTGAAGTTTGTGGAGTATAGCAAGATGATATACTTGGATGGAGATATTCAAGTTTTCGGTAACATTGATCACCTCTTTGAGTATCCGGATGGGTACTTTTATGCGGTTATGGACTGTTTCTGTGAGAAAACTTGGAGAGACACACCTCAATTTAAAATTGGTTACTGTCAACAATGCCCAGAAACAATCCAGTGGCCAGCGGAGTTAGGTCCATCTCCACCATTGTACTTCAATGCTGGCATGTTCATCTATGAACCAAAGTTGTCCACTTACAATGATCTATTGAATACCCTCCAAGTCACCCCTACAACTTTGTTTGCAGAGCAGGTAATAACCATATACATACAAGTAATATTTTTGGTCTTTCTCAAATGGAAGTTGAAGATATTTTTCAAATTACAATGCATGTTTCTTCAAAAAATTAACTCGTTTGGTTAATAAATTACGCATGCAGGATTTTCTAAATATGTTCTTTAGGGACATCTACCGCCCTATCCCTCCAGTGTACAACCTTGTTTTGGCAATGTTGTGGCGACACCCAGGGAAGATAGACCTTGACAAAGTGAAAGTTGTTCACTATTGTGCTGCGGTGAGTGTTAGCAAACATAAATTCCATTGCATAACAAGAAAACTAATGTAAATATATAGTTAATTACCATTTAGAACATAGTAAATAGTACCTTTACTGATACAGGGAGCAAAGCCATGGAGGTACACTGGTAAAGAGGAGAACATGCAGCGAGAAGACATAAAGATGCTGGTGGATAAATGGTGGAAAATATACAAAGATGAGTCGTTGGATTATAAGAACACATCAAAGGATGAGGCGAAAGCAACAATTCCGGTTCATTCAGAGAATGGTGTTCCTAGCTACATTACTGCGCCATCAGCAGCCTGACTCATTTTAGGACAAGGCTAGCTACTTCTAGATTTAGTTCCACTGGTTATGCTTTTCTATCCATCATAAGTATAACCACTATAGGCTTGACTATAGATATACTCTCGCCATTCAAATAAGTATTAGCTCTCTATTAGTTTCAGGATTGCTTTGTTTAACTTGTGTTTATCTACTTCCCTCAAACTGAGGAAACTGCACCTACTATTCTTAGTTTAACTATGTTGGTGATTAATAACTATTTACTGTTTTGGGCCAGTTGTATGAATGAGCTAGGGTTGGTTTGTGGGAGCAATCATTTAAATAATCTGATGGTTAATGTTATGAATCACGTTGATTTTTATATCATGAGAGCAACATGGGGACCTTTGGAGAAGGAAGCTTTCGCATATCCTTAGAGTTACTTTTCAATTAAGCAAGTGCAAGGTCATATAATTCTGCAATCATTCAATCTTAAATGTATATTGCACCACATCTGAAGGACATGTTGTTGGAGTAATTGTGTGACATAGTGAAGGCCAAGATGTTCCCCAAAGCTACAGAAGTAATTCCTTTTTCAAAGAATGACAAAGGTTCAAAAGAAAAAGTTATTTTTGATCAGCAAAGGTTTTTCTTCCTCGATGATGCATCAAGTGACGCAAGGTCAAGTGTGCGCTATGTCAAAGTGAATTTGATTTAGAAAGAGAAGCCAAGCTAACTTAGTCGTCCAAAGGCTTGACATAGAGAAGAAAACTGAAATCAACAACTAACTAGTGTATTAACCTAATGATAATGGTACAGCTACTAAGCAATGGACGTTAGAGTTCAAATCTCACCAATATCTATATAATAAAACAGATGAGAGTTTGAACTTATGGGAGATATATTTTCCCCCCAAATTTCAAAAACTCAACACACACTCTACAACACACAGTTGCACATATATATACACACTCCAACACATATTTTAATGCATGCACAATGTAATAATTCAGTGAACAGTGACTTTAGTCACGGGCTATCGCTAGTTGATTTATATTCTAAAGGAAAACAAAAATCTCAATCACGCTGCCGATTTTCAAATTGAAACCTTCATTAAGAAAAAGAAAATTAAAATTTTAAAAAAAGGATGTTTTTTTTTAGCAAGTGAAGGCATGTATATATGCAACAACAAATGCACTGAATAAATATATGGCATCACAAAATTTTCACAAAATTCCAGAAATTCGGGCCATAGATTCACAAATGTTGTGCAATTTCATACAATTCTCCACTGGATTCTCCTACAAATGAGAAATCATTCAAATCTTAATAGTATAAATCATTGGATTAATGCTTTGAATTTTACAAATAAGAGTTCTTTGAAGGTCGGTACACCAAATTATACATAATTGTAAAAAAATATACAGAATAAAAATATTTTAGAAAAAAGTATACAGCTAAAATATAAAAACGTAAATGCCAATTTTGTAAAATTTTCTTTCCTAAAAACTATAACAAGACATTTATCTTAAACGCTGAAATTTAGGGTCATTTAATTCAAAATTTTTAATGCACCTTGATTCATGCGTTTTTTTTTAAAGTGATTTTGTTTTCAAATTATATTTATGCATTAAATAGTAGAACTTTAATATTCCGTTTATTTTAGGATAAATCACTTTGCTTGAATTTCAAAAATTTTTAATTATTTTTTTATATAATTTGAAATATAAAATTATTTACATTGTAACAATACACTGTAACAAAAACAGTATTAAATAGTTTTGCGTATGTGGTAACAAATTCAAAGAAGAGATTAACTGTTTTGAATGAAATTATATGAAAATATATGCTTGACAAAACGTAATAGTACAATATTTTATATAAATGTCATGTTGCACTGTTATTGTTACACTATTATTATTACACTGTTATGGAGTTCAAATATTAATATAATTTGAAAATAAAACCATTTTCCAAAAAAAATATGCATGAACCAAGGGAGGACATAAAAATATGGAATATTAAAGTTCTTTCATAAAACTAGGAGATATTTAATTCAACACTTTTCAAAAAAAATATGCATGGATCAAGGGAGGATATAAAGGTTAGAAAAAATTATGAAAATTTCAAATAATGTATTTGAAAACAAATAAGTATCAAAATTAAAAAAAATTTAACTTATATTTTTTTTTACAATTAACTCCAATTTACTGTATCTCTGCCAATTTTCCCAACAAATAATATGCAAGCCCAATTGAATGGGTTCTGATTCTTAACTCTTTCCGGCCCATACATCACCAAACCATCGATAACACATTTGCCGACGAGCTGCCAAATCTTTATATAAAAACCCAATTATATCCACATAAAATAAATAACATCAACTCTACAATAATTCATACAATTTCAGACCAACAAATATTTTTTTAAAAAAATTAATTTTTCATAAAATATTAATTAAATGAATGTATCGTGTTAAAATTTAGTTATCTATGTTTGATATTATTCTAAATCATTTTTTTGTTTATATTATTTCGTCCTGTTATTTTTAAGAGTAATGTTATTGGTACCTAAAAATTTGATATAATATATTAATATAATGATGTGATCTTATTAAAACTATTACATTAACATTAAGCTTCAACGTTTGATGGGATCTACAATCAATCCAAAAATTATATAATAATTTAAATCAACAAATCAAGTTAATAAATTAGGTCTTAATGTTCCTAATAACATTGGGACGTAATTTGTGTTGTGTCGAACTCATATAAAAAATTGACACGTGTCCCCCAGTCCTACTTGAGAATCGTAGTGAATGGAAGAAACTACGCTGTTGGTCATTTAATGAAAAGAACACCATCTGAAATAAGTGGGCGAGTGTTTTAGATGGATTGCCCCAAATGCACTGTCATGGCTGCACAAATGGCTTTGGCTTTTGCCTTCTCTGGCAAAGTGTAGGTAGCTTTGCAGTCTTCTTTGTGAGAAATGTTTGCATGGGTATTACGCACCACGTGGGTCAGTCCAGGTGGTGACAAATACCACTCAAAAATTTGCCCAGTGAAGTGCTTTTTCAAAAAATGCCCAGATTCCATGAAAGGCAATACTGCATTTGCTATCACTGAGCTTCACGTATGGATTCCAGCTACATGAATATGACTTATCTTTTACCGTTTCATTTCTTATATATGCATTATACATTTATCCCATAAATATAATTCATGCATAAGAGTAAGTATGATTCATGTATATTGGTACAATGAATTATTTATAATATTAAAATGTACCAACATATTACTATTAACTAACAGAGCACAAAGATGTGACTATGGACACGAGTGGAAATTGTAATACGGTGCTCTGTATCACTTCTCCATTGCCATTTTTGATTGTATTATCAGATGATGAAAATGAGCACAAAGATGTGACCATGTCTATGAGAAAGGTAATTGTCTATTTGGTTCTCTGTATGGAAGGCTTTTCTAATTTCAGCAAGAAAAGTTACAAGATGTATTGTCGACCCAATTCTCATTCACACCATCCCTACCCCTGATAATTTCTCTACTCTATCTCCCTCTCTCTGTGCAATAATTGTCTATATATTCATCCTGATCAAGAGAAAAATCAAAAACTAAGTGTGTATGTGTGCCCCTCTATAAAATTAAGACATATTATACATTCTGCAGCTTCCCCTGTCGGTACCATTATCAACATCACCGTCTTCTCTCTTTTATGGAAATGGATCAACAGTCACCACAAGAGATACCCCAGTCACCTCCACCTCCAGTACTAGCTTTACCTCCTCTTTCTCCTCTGAATACTAAAATAGTCATTTTTCACCACTAATTATTCAATAGCTGCAAAGATTATAAAGACTTTGGCCGTCACTGCTGTATTGATCTGGCAGATTGTGGTTGTTCTAAGACACAGAAACGTCAGCTCTTGGTGCCATGACAATATCGTTGCTGCAAAAGAAGGAAGGACGGGCTTTTCTTCTATAGCAGCAGCTGCATGTCAAAGCGGCCTCAAAGTACAGCCCCTATGGATTTTGTATTTTCATTAGAAGAGGGGATACAAAGAAGATATTTTTGTGTTATGTCCAAGTGGTGTGTCGTATCAAAAATTGGTATATGTATCACATGGTCCTACTTGAGAATCACAGTGAATTAGAAAAACTATACTGTTGGTCATTTAACGAAAAAGAACACCATCTGAAACCAATGGTTGAGGATTTTAGATAGATCACTGCAAATGCAAACGGTCATGGCTGACTCAACCCCAAGGCAGGGGACCATTCCTCAACCAATGCCTTTGGCTTCTTTCCAACAATACCCACATGATTCCATGTTGAAAAGAAAAGGTTTTAATGCATAGTCAGAAACAAAACTCAGAACCGTCCTCCATAAAAGACACTTTCTTTTGCCTTCTCTGGCAAACAGAGTATTTAGCATAAACTCAAGTGCCATTCATGAAATCTGGGGTCATAATGCATTTTCCTTCACTTTGAGATCCAAATTGGAGTCTCGAATCTTTATTTACCTAATGCGTATGGTTGGAAACTATAGTCTCCAAACATAATATAATTTTGGATGGAACTAAAAACATTTCTTAAACATTGGCATTTATGAGAACAAGGAATTATTACAATATGGTCATGGTCAGGGTGTATGACTAATTTAGTTCCTAGGCAAATAAGTTGCGACATTGTTGACAATGTTACAGTAAAGTTCAAAATCCTGAATCATTTCTGGGAGTCTTGATGAGTCAAGTGGAGTATATCCTGGAAAGCGAGGGTCATAGGGACGTCGAAAGGGACCAGGGCCGCCAAATGAATATCCCGAAACTTGAGCATTACAATCACGGACTTCGTTCGGGGCTTGGCTTGCATCTGCAGCTACACGTCGGTAGCCACCGGATTGCAAGTGTTTGGTGGCGCGGTCGAGGTCACGGATGGCCTGGTTATATCTTCCGGCACAGTCCCTGTAAAGTTGTCTTTGTGGATGATCATTTGTGCTTTCAACTAAATTACCGAGCAAGTCGTGAATATCGTTAGCGCTCCTGCGTGCCATGGCAATATAATTATCGGCAAGACTATAAGCATCTCCCAGGGAACCTGGAGTACCATAGCCGGGTCTCAAACGTTCCCAGCAGTTACGAGGATTGATTGTGCCATCGCATACCCTCTTCATGTCGACATTTACTCCTCTGAATGGGTTGTAAGCATGGGAGGGACTAGTATTGAGGAAGACACATGCCAGGAAAAGAAAAACCAGCAAAGAGAAGGTGTCGTAAGTGGAGGCCATGTCAACCTTGTCTTTTTTGTTTTGGTTTGGTTTTCCTCGATCGTTGAAGTTGGTAGAAAATGGGGGCATGCAAGTGAGTTTTTATAGCTCTAATATTCAAAGCGCAAAATAAGGAAGTAAAGACATCAATTGCCAAAGCAGTTTGTTGTTTTAATTTTGGCATCTGTTTTCAGTTTCTTGATATATTAATATAATAATGCTTATATTTATGATCCACTTAACTCTTAGGTAACACTCTTATTAATGCATCACACAAGCTTTTAGATCAATGCCTTAATTACCAGTGACAACTGTTATCAAGTGTGACTAAACCTTACCGAACAAAGCCCGCCACCTAAACTAGGGCCAGGCCAGTGGCTGCCTGAGACCCAAATATATATTCAAGAAAAACTTAGGCCTCCAATGAAATTTTTTGGCTCCCTCAACTTGGTTTTTTTTTAGGGTCCTTTGAAACTTAATACACCAAATTAGACATAATTGTAAAAAAATATACAAAAAAAAAAAAGTTTTAAAAAAAACTACACTACTGAGATACAAAAACATAAATACCCTTTTTATAAAATTTTCTTTTCTAAAAACTATGACAATGCATTTATTTTAACCGCTAAAATTTAGGTACATTTATTACAAAATTTCTTCATCTTTCGGTAATCGTTTTGTATACTCCACAAAAAATCGGTTCATCTTCTTCGAAGAAACCTCTCAACTCTCTGTCTTGCACAAACATGAAGAAGGTTTCAACTGTTAAATGTACATCAATTGACAGAAGATTTGGAGTTTGATTGATACACACTCAAGAATGATGAAAGTTTTGTTTTCGATTTGAAGAAACTTTCGAACTTCGACATTTATAAACCAGAAACATGCGTTGATTGTTGCTCGTTGGCCAGCATTTAATAAGGTGATTGTTGAACTTCACCATTTCATGTACTTTTTTTCTTGTATTGACATCATGGGTTATCCAAAATCAAAATATTATTACATTTATTTTGATTTTAGTGTTTTTTTTAGTAGAAATTTCTTGTTCCCTAAACGTCTATAGGGTTTTGTTTTTGAAAGAAAAATCCTATTGTTCAGCCCATTTGATGTCAGATCGTCAACAACATCTATTTTTTTGAAGATTTGTTCGTCATTTGAAGATACGTATGAACTTTGACATTTGAAGACCAGAACCAGATATTGAAAATTGATCGTTGGCCTTTGTGAAATACAATGTTACTATCATGTGTTTCTACCATATTAATTCAATGTGTGTGAATAAATTGTGTGTATCTCCTAAATGTGGATTGTGTTTCTCTCACAGTGTAACAATACACTGTAATACCCAGGATAAAAAAAAATGAAATAACAATATTAATAATAAAAATAAAAGTAAATAAGTTGGGTTTGAAAAGTTACAGACTTTTGTTTGGCTTGGGGTCTATCCTTATGGACTTATGGATATGATTTGAAAATCAGTGGAAATAATTTAGTTTTTGTTATAGGGAGATATATCAGATAATTATAGAGACTTAATTGGATAGAGTTTTAGAATTGTAGAACTAGTTGTACACTAATTCTTTATTGCTAGTGGGACTTTAGTGTTATCAAGAATAGTTAACTCTTACACTTTATATTTAAATGAGTTTCATTGTTGTCTTAGACGTCTACTGATATATAGATATATATATATATTCTCTTTCCATAAGTAATACCTATACACGTTAGAATGAAAGAAAGGAGAGAGAGGCTAGGGTTTCAAGTAAAAAAAAAAGGAAGAAAACTAGAAGATTTGATCGTCAAGGTTAATCTTCTTGTTGAAATTAAATTATGTATTTAATCATTATATGTACATATATACAAGTTTGTAACCTATTCTATCTTGCAAGTAATCCTAGGTTTATAAGGTTGCAATATGTGAATTCAAATATAATATGGTGGGTATTTGTGTTAAGAAGATTTTAGAAAAAGAGGGAGACAGAAGAAAACGCAAAGCATGAAATCTGGAATTTGTAAGGTCGAAGAAGATAGAAATTTGAAATTATGAAAACTTCTCCCTTAGTTTTAAGTAGTCTTATTTTGATCCATATACTTTTCTAAACTCAATTTTTGACTACCATAGAACTTGGTAATTTATAGAACTGATCCAATATGTTTGAATCAAATATGGTCATTTCAAAACAGCCCCAAAGTCTTGAAAAATTCTTGAAATTTTGAAATGACCCCTAAAAATTTTGATTAAGTGTTTAAAAATCAATTGTTCCTCTAATATATCAAATTGAGATTGTATTCTCGAAAAATGGGTCTCTAGAATCTTAAATGCTATTATGGAAAAATTATGGCAGACCTGAAAATAGAAAATTCATTTTTAAAGAAATTATACTTTGGCCCCAAAGTTTTAAAAAATTATAATTTGACCTCAAAACTTTTAAAAAAATTTATAAATTACCCAGATTACTTCCATACCCTATTAGCTCACATTAAAAATATTATTTCTATATAAAGGATATATAAAGTATATATTAATGGGTATGAAGTATAAAAATTAAATATAGAATCACAAAATGACGAAGTTAGAAATAAGAATTGATCGTTATATGTCATTTTGGATTAGATGGTGATTGCATTGAGGTTGAGAAAGAGGACTTTGAATTGAATTTTGAAAATCAAGGTGAGTAGTTACCATTTCTTTTGGAAGGATTTCTATATTAAATGTGTGGGTGTGTGTGTATAAAATTTTCATATATATGATATATGTGTTGATGTTTGGGGTTACAATTAAATGTTTTAAAATTGTAAACTGTTACATATGTAAATTTTAGAAAACTTGTGGGATGATTTTATATCATTGCTTTGGTGATGAAAGAGAAATTTTGTGTGCGTTGGGACTAAGGTACATTTTTGGTGTGCATAAAAATCATGTTTATGAGACGAGGACTAAGTTACCATATCTGAGTGGTAACGAGATTGTATACCAGCGTAGTCGGTATAGAGATGTGCACATAAGAGCCAGTCATCAGACTAGTGATGATAAAATATGGGGCTAGTTATCAGGTTAATGATAACAAGAGATGAGATCAGTCATCAGGCTAGTAATGACAAGAGACGAAACCAATTACCAGGTTAGTGGTAACATACATGATTTGACAAATGTATTTGAGACTGAATGTGTGTGTGAGTGTTTTGGATTATAAATGTTTTTTCATTTATAAAATTATTTGTGAAAATGAGTGGTGCTTGAGTTATAAATATCTTTTCATTTATAAAATTATTTGTGATCATGAGATTATTTTCTTAAGGATTATGTGAGAGGGGGTTGGGGTACAATTTGTTGTACTTATATATATCAAAGTTTATTTTTATATATAAACTATGAAATTTATTTGCACACCTCATTAGAGGTGGTTGCTATTCACGGGTCATTATGCTCATCTAAACATTTAATATTTTTCAGGTGAGGATTAGGGGGAGGAATAAGTCCTCGAATAGATAAGAGATTAGAAGACTTGAAAATTTATTTTATTGTAGATCTTCAGAAATAAATGTCTTTTATAGTTTTGAAACAAATGTATAATTGTTTTAGGAGTAATATTGCTTACGTTTAGAGTAGTGAATGTTATGATTTAATTACTGTTTTACATGGATTTAGTAATGATGTTGGTGATGTTTAGTTTATTTCTCTGGTATTCATTTGGTCGGTGGAATGAATCACTTCATTATTTGTCTTCTGTTGTATTTTGTATTTATTATGCACAAGGTTGGTTGGTTAAGGCCTTAGTGGCCAGTCTGTTGCTCACCCTATGTGATTCGGGGTGTGAGTATGACATACACTGTAACAAAAACAGTGTTCGGTGATTTTGTGGATGTGATAACAAATTCAAAATAGAGATGAATTGTTTGAATAAAATTATATGCAAATATATGTTTAACAAAATGTAATAGTACAATATTTTTGGATAAGTGTCTTGTTACACTATTATTATTACATTGTTATTGTTACATTAATATGGTGTTCGCATGTTAAGAAATAGAATAATCACCTTTAAAATAACAAAAAATACTGTTGTAAAATTTAAAATTCAAACCAACTGATTTATTCTCACAATAAACAGAAGAATCAAATCTTCTATTAAATTAGAAGATTTTTAATGCATACATTTATCCTAAAAAAAAACAAAAGGATCAAATGTTCCATTAAATTAGGAGATTTTTAATGCATACATATAATCTGGGAAAAAAAAATCAGTTTCCAAAAATAAATTGCACAAATTAAGGGAGCACAAATGTCAAAGAAAAATCCAAAAAATTTAAATTATGTACTTGGACACAAATAATTAAGAACTAAAATTAAGGACTTCTTTCTTCTACATTTTTTTCTGTGTATTTTTTTACAATTAACTCCACTAAGACAAAGTTTCAAATTTGAAATTCAAACAAAAAGATATATCCTAAAACTAGGAGATGTTTAATGCATAAATAAATAGAATATTAAAGTAATCTCATAAAACTAGAAGATGTTTAATGCATAAATGTAAATTTAAAAAAGAACCAAATTCCAAAAAAAAATACGCATGGATCAGAGGAAGACATAAAGGTCACAAGAAAATCTGAAAATTTTAATTAATGTACTTGGACACAAATAAGTATAAAAATTAAGGAATTTTTTATTCTATATTTTTTTCTGTGTACTTTTTTACAATTAACTCCAATTTGGCATACCCCCTTCCAATTTCTTCTTTTTTTTTTATCTTACTCAATTTTTAATGAAAGCCAAACTAAATAAGTTTATTCACCAGATCTGAGACAATAATTTTGATGTTGTGCTATCAGAATTTAACAGATAACTTATTGTCTATCACATATTGGGATAAATTTTAACTTTTGTATCTTGGGTTAAATTTGAGACTTTTTTTATATAATATATAGATTGTTTTCAACCATTTTTTTAAAAAGCACATAGTGACCAAAAAATAAAGGTTACCTTCAAGGGAATTATCTCCCTCAAAACTAACCCTAGCTCATTCTAGGAGATAATTCCCATTTTGAGAGTGTCACATGCGCTGGCCTCTCAATACATGTAATGGTCAATCAGAACTTGAAAAGTCAATAGAGAGTTGAATCTACATCCAAAGCCCTGATACAGTTCGTGTAGTCAATAGAGACTCATCCTACAAACTAATTAAACTATGCTAACGTCTAGGAGGGTGGGCTAAAGGAATTAGGGGCAACCCGAGCTGTTTTGGGGCCTAAAGCAAGGATTTTACGTGGGATTTTTTTTTATTTTTTTTATTAACATAATTATTATTTTTATTTAATTTATTTTAAAAAATTCAAAATTACTAATAAGTTTTTTTGTATGTTCTTCATAATCAAGAATTATTATATTAAATTTTTGACCATCATTATAAAAAATTTATTTATTATTTTTTCACCATATAATTTCAGTATCTTCTAATTATTTAAGATCTATCACTTGTTTATTTCAAAACTTTCAATTAAATCTTTTGTTATTTTTTATTACTCATAATAAATTTATTAGTAGATCTTTTTTTTGTGATTCAATAAGTTTTTCTATTTTTCTCTTTTTTTCAAGTTCTTTATATCTAAATTTTTGTTTTTTTAGTAGCCGCAGTTTTTTGACAATCTAAATTTTTTTATAAATCAATCAAATACTCTCTATAAAAAAACTTAATAAAAATCAAAATTATAAAACAATAACATTAAATTCTATCATTAGTGTTCCTAAAACTTAGCATATTATAATGTGAATAAGTTGATTGAAACTATATTTTGTACAAAATAATATTGAAAAAGAGAAAATGCGAGTATAAAACAATATACCGAGGCTGATTTGATGACCTTTGTTGTGTGAATTAGAAAGGTGATCACGAGCCAAAAGGGAAAGATAATCCTTTATTTTGTTTTATAGAAAAAAAATAATTTTTTTTGAGTGTGTGAGAGAGAGGGGGGTTGATATTTTAATATGAGAGACATAGGAGAGAGAGTGTGTTTGATTGATATAATTGACCAATTAGAAAGAGTAATTAATGTTATTGATTATTGACTTCTTTATTTTTGCACTAAAATTTGGGTTTTTTGGCTGTAGGTACATTTTTAGACTTATTTAAGAAAAAATGTATGAATAAGTTGTTTATTTTATATAGTTTAATTTTAATAAAACACATTGTGTTTAGGTACAAAATTCAAATAAAATCAAAATTATTTTACCAAAATACCTTCTCTTAAATTATGCATTATTGATTGACAATTATATATCTAATCAAATATGTAAAAATTTCATTAAACTTTCTCACTTTCTCTCCCCTATTTTCTCTCCATCTCTCTCTCTTTCCTCATTACTTTCCTCATCTCTCTCCTATTTTCTCTCTATATCTATCATTGATAATTTATTTTCTTTTCAAATATGTAAAAATTTGATTTATTTTTTCATCTCTCTCCCCCTTATTTTTTCTAACAATTTCTCTATTTATATCAACATTACAACAACACACTAATCAGTTATACCAATCAGTTACAATTGCCTTATAATACACCAAACAGTTATTCACGCGTTCTAATAAATCAAACAGTTACACCAAACAATTACACAAATTTATAACACCAACTCAATTTGTTATTCATTTGTTTACATAAACTAAATAATTATACTATTTAGTATCGCGATATCGTTACACCAATCATATATACCAAATTTAGTATAATGGAAAAGTCTTTTGTGTACTGATAAACTCAATTTTGTGTATATAATTTGTGTAACTATGTTGTGATATTAAATTGTGTAACTCTTTGATTTATGTAAATAACTAAATGACAAACTAAGTTGGTGTTGTAATTTCGTATAATTGTTTAGTGTAACTGTTTAATTTATTATAATACATGAATAACTGTTTAGTGTATTATATGATAATTGTAACTAATTAGTGTAATTGATTAGTGTAATTGTGTTGTGTAACGTTGATATCAAGAGAAAGAAAAAGGGAGAGAATAATAAAATAAGTGGAGAGGGAGTGTGAGAGAGAGAGAGAGAGCGAAAAAAAATAGGGGGAGAGAGAGATGAAAAAAATTAAATCAAATCTTACATATTTTTAAAAAAATTTATCAATATGAGAAAAAGAGAGATAGATAGAGAGAAAATAGGGAAGAAAGAGTAAAAGAGTAATGGAGAGAGAGAATGAGAGAGAGTAATGGAGTAATAAATGTCCTTTTAGTATTTTTTTTCAAAAAAATGCACTTATGGCCAAATAAGTTTCCTTAATGTAATTTAACTTAAATAAGTCTAAATATGTGTACCGACTTCCAAATTATCCTTAAAATTTCATGTTTTTAACTAAATGGATTGTAAACCTTTTACTTTTGCTATGCCACAAACACTTTTGGGCTTTTGGGCCCATTTTTGTTAAAATCTTTTGTTAGTTTAAAGTACACAAGACCTTTTTACTTGGACTCAAGTTTATTTGAGTTTAATTTTTTGGTTTGGATCATACATAAGACTTATAAAAAGTAAGGCCTTCATTTTAGATGGGGTCTAAAGTGATCGCTTCTTCAGCCTAGTTATTGGGCCGGCCCTAAAAGAGATTGTCAAGTTTAGAACTTAGAACGTTTGAATTTACACAATTCGTCTCTATCTCCACTTGAACAATCCCTTTAGAATAGACCGGAGGTTCATTTGTTGGAATCTTAGGATTGCTTGCGATACTACTTATTGTATTATATTTTCTCACGAAACTCTTAGTCTATGTCATTTACACACGAAACTTCACAATCTATGGAGCAGCACTCTATGAATTAGGAATTGTAGTTTTAATGCTATTTAGTTCCTTATCAATTGAGGGTTTTTGTGGTGTTTCAGGCTTCAAACATTATTGGAACTGGGACGTTTGGTTGTAGGAATACCATTGTGGAAAGAGAGAACTTCATCTGAGAACTTCACTTTTCGCCTTTGAAGTTATTGGGTACTTTACGTATTGTAGTTTGAGGCTTGGAGTGATATTCAAATAATTCTCTGTTGTTCATGTATGGTTTTAAACTAGATTTCTTTCTCATGAAATTTATTGCTTATATTCTAACAAGATATAATATTTCCTTTTAGGTGTTCAATGAAATGCTCAATTTGGTTGAATTCTTATGTTCTTCAGCAAGCGCCTTAACAGTGAGTAAAACCATGAACCAAGATTACCCCACATTGTATTTGTAAAATTTGTGAAATGATAAATATTTTATTTGACATGAAGTTTGAAACTTTTTGATAGTATAAATGCCGAGACTTTTCAACATTATAAATTTGACGTGAATTATTCATTGAGTTGTCTTCATTTTTTGTGAGTATCGACGGAGAGGTTTTGGTTAAATTGGTTGATTTCTTTTCAAATTATATAATGTCAATTTTTACATATGGCTATATCAGAGATTCACAGTATTGAATTGCTGTGAAGTTTAATTTGAATTTTGATTAGAAAATTTTAGCCAAAATCGAATTACATGGGATTGATTTCATTTTTATGGGTATGATCTTCAATTGTAATCTTCATATTGCATAACCGGTGCTCAATTTTTTGTGTTAAACAGTGAAAGGCACGAGTTAGTGCTAGTATATCCATTGAGTACTTTCATTGAACTATTTGTAAAACACCCATAACCATTCAGTCACCAGATATATATACATTGTGCTATCTATTATGTGCCAATGTGCAATTATTTATATACACCCACAAATAAAGCACTTCTTACTGTGCATTAGCCACCCCATGGACAATGACTTCTGCTTCCACCCAACTACTGTCTTTTACCAGAAAGCCGTTGAAAGATGAATTGAAATAACTGAGTGAAATGAATCGAGGCCAACCACATTGTTGGCTTGATGCACTGAACCAGTAAGTCGCTGCAAGAACACAGAAATCGGCAAGCTTATTATATGAGCATGTTGATATATAAGTGGATCATTTTCCAATCCTAAGATTTAGGAAAGCATTGAGCCAAGACAGTTTTTATACTGCCTAACCTGTGAGTCATAAGATCAGCCTATATTTACCTTTTCCGAAGTCATGATTGCTGTGCGTTTGGTCTAGTATACGCAATATGAACTCTGCAAATATTTTGGAGCCATGAGGAAGGGCTGTGGGATCAGCCAAAGCCAGATACAGAGATATATGAGTTCCTATGCCACTGCTTTTTCCCTTTGGATATAGTTGTATCTTCCTGCAACAACCAGCAACAACAAAAATATCAAGTAGCAAATGATTCAATGTTGTTGTTAATATGTATGATGCAGTTTAGCTGAAGACTCTGTAAATGGGATGGTTTAAAATTTGGGGCAAAATCTTTCATCATTAACATGTAATATAAAAAAGAAAATATATAATTCTTGAGATTTTGTCTAGATTATATCTGGGAAGAAATTCATTACTGCATTACCATTTTTGATCTCCAGCATTGAATGTGTCAGAGTCTTCACACCCTTTGTCTAACTTTGAAAATTTCTCAATTTTCCAAGTGTGCTTGTACTTAATAGCGTCCTTCATCATCAATAATGACTCTTCTTTACCCTTTTTTTTCTCCTGACAGACAAAGACCTCTGCTCCAAAGACACAAGTATCGTTGACAAGATACCCATTATCAGGATTGGAAAATGTAGTAAGAGGGATGAACCGATCAAAACCCCATTCCAGCTTCATTCCATTAAAGCGTCTTCCCTTTCTTCTTGTATCTAAGCAAGTTAACCACATGATTACCAATATCACATTTTATGGGAGTGTATTATGAAAAAGGCAACTTGATAGTTTAGACTGAAGCATGAAACTGTGACGTTTTACTAGCGTGATGAAATCTGGTAGTGAGTCATGAGAACAATGCAACTAGTACAAAGATAGAAAAAGAGGCAATACAAAACTGTAACACTATTGCTGAATTGGAGATGACACCTTGAAGTGTTAAGTAGTTGTCTTTGTTCTGATCAAGCAAAAACAGTCGAAAAGCAGCATGCACCGCCCAACCAGGATGCAATGAACTAACTTCCGATATCATCAAGTAAAAAGAGATGTGATCTTTAATATTTTTGTTCTTGTTTCCATTTGGGTAAAGAACCAACTTCCTGCATGCAGCAAATAAAACAACATCCGAAAACTGATAAAACAGCAATTTGCAATCAAAAGGTCATTATAGCCACTATACTGAACTATTGTCACAACTACATCAAAAATAAAGGAATGACAAAGAGATACAATCAACGTAAATACAATACACACACAGAGGGAGAGGGAGGGAGAGAGAGTATCATTTATAACCTGTAGCTTCGAAATTACCTGAAGTGTATCTCTCAATGTTGTTCTTTGTTAGTAATGAAAATAATTGAATTTTGAGGGTGAAATGAGTAGGTGGTGTGTCTGAAACCGACTTGAGAACTCCTGCGATAGCAATTATGATAATGAGGATGGTGATGTGAATGATCATATTGATAACATAAAACATTAAAATTCAAAATGAGGGTGTAGCATTTGGTATTAGAATTGTACTCACAGGAACTCTGGAAATCATGCACGTCGCAGTCATGTATGGACTATGCACATACATAAAATATGCATAACTATTTCTACTCAATTGTATTTAAAGCATAATATATACTGGATTAAAACTAGAGGGGCATTAGAAAATACTTAGATTAGCTTGCTCTGCTCACCATAACAAAGTTCTTGTAATAAATGTAATGGTTTGATTCCACAGAAATGATTTCATGAGAAAACAACAGATGCATGCTCTAGTACTAGTTCTTCATGCAAATGTAATAAAAGCTTTCAAGAATACACTTTATACAGCAGAGAGATAGAGGAGCCCATATGTACCATCTTGGTCGCCAAAGAGATCTGCCATGGAAATAAAGTCGCGAAGGTGGGTTGGAATGTACCAACCGCCTAGAATAGATTAAAACAATGAAACAATCAGATTGGCTAACATGCTTTTTATGGATGAAATAAATAAAGTTTTAATTCCAAAGCTCTTAAAGGAGTTACACTTTTATTAAAAAGGTGGATTGTTGTTTGTCCAAGGAACAAGAATCCATTCTCTACTTCCTTGGTGGTACAAGCAATTTGTGGAAGGAATCAGTTACTAGAAAACACATACATAATTTATGATTCAGAGAGAATATTACTTGCTTAAAAGGTTGAGCTAAGAAATCAATGTGTTTGCTGTTTGTTTACGTTGTCTTGTCTGCCACAGCGAAACCATTTAAAAGCACATGTCAGAGCGTTTTTGCCACAAAGAAAGATGGGGAAAAAAATGATGCAACCATTGGAGGAAACTAATATATATCCATTGCACGGCGACAATCATAGTATTTAAAAAAATTATAGTTCCCCGCAATGAATCCCAAGCCGCAATTTGGTTGGGGCTGTAAACAATAGGCATGGCGCTAAAGCAACGTGGTGGCACAAGCTGCACAGCAAGAATATTCCCCAATAGGCACCATGATCAAGCAAGCCCCTTCAACCTGGAGATCTTGTGTTTGCAGGACTTCACCATCACCCCTCAACGATATGTAGAAGCCAGCATCGGTTCTAGGGATACTGCAGCTGAAACTTGCAGCAAAGAGAACAGCCCTGAATAGACCAATGGTGAAGTTTTAGGATTCATCTATAACCTCCTGTTGAGATGCAATGCCATGCGATCTGAGCTCTTCTTTTTGAAAAAAGCAAGTTCTACATGCCTCTGTTTTTAAAGTAGTAGATAGATTTTTCCATTTCAATGACAAGGGAAGAGTCTGCAAGACTGCAACATCGACCGAGAGGGGTGGGGTCCCTCGTTTCTTCGACTTCCATAGCAATCATCTTCCATCCCTACATGTTTCTCTTCCTCTCTCTCGATCTTTCTCTCTTTTTATTTTGTCTGACAACATCTCAAGACTTAAATTTGTTCATTCTTGTTTCAAACACCCGTTGTCTACTTCTTGTAGCGAATAATGAATTCTTCTCAAATTATATTGGTAGTTCTCTTGATTTATTGTGTGCCAATTGAATTGCCTTCACAATTTGTTCATTCTTGTTTCATACCAGAAAATTCTAATTTATTAGAGAACCCAAAGCACATAAACATGACAAAAACCATGCCATATCGACATATCTAATTGCATTAATGTATGTCCTGTGAAAGGTAACTTGTGTTCAATCATGTCAACTTACCAGGCCGGTCCAACAACATATTTTAAAAAGCTTGGGCTTTAGGCCCCATTTCAAAGAAAACCCTTAGCTTTTAAAGTGAAATTTGAGATTGAATCCTCCTAGATGCACTTATAATGACTTGAGTCTGTCAAGGAAACTTATTTTGTGATAAATTTGTTTTTTATCTTACTAATAAGTGTTTAAGTCCACTATTTTTTTAAATTTCAAGTATATCTTTCAGTGTTATTGTGTTCAATTATAGAAACCTTAAAAACCTTGAAAGTAGTTTTAAATTAATTTCTTAAATTAGAAATTATTATTTTTTAATTTACTCATAAATTAAAATTGAAATTTATACTCTCTCTCTCTCTCATTCAATAACAAATGTAAACTTTTGCAATAACAATTGCAAACCGTAATGTAACAATTATATTTTTCCATATAGTAACATCAAATTTTTATGCATAGTAACAAAACTATTTTAACAAAACTCAGGAGGATATATGTTGAATAGTAACATTAGCAAGATATTTTTTTACACAGTAACATCAATGAAATATTTTTTTCCTTCACATTAACAATAATTTTTGTTTACTTTTCACAAAATACGGTCCACAAATCAAAAAATTACATTATTTAGAGTAATAACATATAATTGTCAGTTGAATTCGGACACTCATCACCACTTGTGAATGTCAACACATCGAATATGTAAATATAATTTCCTTTTTTCCTTTATAGTAACATCAACTTTTTCCCACAAATGACACAATCAAACATTTTTCGATTGTATTGTATAACAAAAGATCTAAAAAATTGAAACCTAAATCATTTAATTTAGTAACAATAAATCGCATATTGAAATTAGGAATGAAAAAAATAATGAAAATTTTGAAAACTTGGAGGCTTCTTCCTCTGGTTATGGATTAAAATGCTACTATTTTTATTTTCAATTTTGTTCAATATTCCATACTACTCTCTTTTTTATGAAGTATGTTACTATTTTTGTTAAACATGTTACTGTTTTTGTTAAGTATATTATTATTTTTGTTGAAAATATTACTATTTTTTGTTAAACATGTTACTATTATCATTTTTTTAAAATATTAATATTGAATGAACATGTTACTATTTTTTTTATGTTTAAATGTTGCTATTTTGTTATGTTTAAATATTACTATTTTTTTTTTTGTGTTTAAACGGTATTATTTTTTGTGTTTAAATGATAATTTTTTTTTTTTTGTATATGAATGTTACTATTTTATTTTTAATGTTACTATATATATATATATATATATATAAGATATATAGTTTTAACCTATAGATATAGATAGATATGAGAGAGAGAATTTTTTAATGTTAGTCAAACTCTTAAAATTTATAAGTTTTTAATTTTTAATTTTACTTCACTTTTAAAGATAAGGGATAGTATGATAAAATAGACAAAAAATAGACTTCATAGCAAATAAATTTCTTTGGCAGAATTAAGTACAAACAAGTACATATAGGAGAACCGGTCTCCAAAATTCTCATTTTTAAATACCATAAATAACCCATATAAAAAAGGCTTTATAAAATATAAGCTCAATCAATCATTTAGGTCCAAAGCCCAATGTGTCTTAAATTCAAGGTTGTATTATATATTTTAACTATACTATATATTGTGTTTGTTTGGTTGTTATATAGTTATAATATATTAATAATATGGCACCTAGAAGAGAATCAAGTGGATACGAAAAATTAAAAAAAAATGGACCAACTAATAGAATCTCAAAAATGATCTCTTGATAAATTGGTTGCTTGTAACAAAAGTAATGTAACAAAAAATTTAGATGAAAATTTGAAAATGAACAAATAGATAATGCAATAAAATAGAATAAAATAAAAAATATTGAAATAGAAAATAATGAAATAAAATATAATAAAATAGAAGATAATGAAATAAAAAAATATTGAAATAAATGATAAGAAAATAGAGGATAATGAAATAGAAAATATTGAAAAAGAAAATAGTGAAATAAAAGATAATTAAATAGAAGACAATCAAAATCTTAATAAAATAAGTCATTATAGTCATATAAATATTTATAATCCAAGTCAATGGAAAAATAGGGATACAAAATTCTAGAGCATTTTAAACACCACGTAATTATCATAATTTAAATCTAGCATTGGTGCAGGTCGTTCTCTTACTTGTGCTCATATAACAGGGTCTGCACTGCACATGTTACACCACCCGAGCAATGGCCAAGAAAAACCCAAAGACTCTTTTAATTTTTCCAACAATCTGAACAGGAGACATTTAGAGCAAGTCTTCTGTTTGTGGTTATACGCTGTGGCGGGTGGGACATCCCATTGAATGTCGCCTTGTGGTTATTGTCATTGACTTTTGCGTTCTCCCATTGAACTGACAGTGATTTATTGTCAGTAGATAAAATTCTTGGGTTTTTTTTGGTGTGATTGTGTTCTTGTCATATATTTGTTATTTGTGGTTGAATCTTTTTGGTGTTCAGAGAGTCGGTAATTAGTCTAATTATATTTTCAGGAGAAGTCGTAGTCACTAAACCTGTAATGAACTGGATTCAATACAGACTAAAAATTTTGTGTATATATATGAAATAGACCATCTAATTAACATGACATATATTATTTTGAATGGAAGAGAAATCTGGACTCAAATTATCCCAGCAATATTGAGGATTTATGGTGGCATCGCATATCGTCCTCAGCTCAACGGTTCTGTAGCCATGGTAATAAGGCCTTGCCAAAGAGGGACCGATGAAGACAAACACAAGGACAAGAGAAAGCAACATAGCATTAGAGGAGGCCATTTCTATATTTCTATCTTTTTTTTTTTGGCTTGTATTCTTTCCCACTTGGTACGAAATTTGGATGATGCAATGGGGACTCTTATAGGTATTACTGTAATAGCTTGTGTGCTGTTTCTTTCAGAATTAATGTTGCTTTTATTGAGAAATCAACTCTAACTAATGTTTATTTTTCACTTAATACATTTAATTAAAGATTTGTAACAATATTATATTGAAGGCAATAATAAAGAGAAGCAACACCAAATTTATGGAGACCAATACATCCCTCCCCCCCAAAAAAAAAAATTCCTTTGTTCCTTGTGAAAGGATAATATTGCAACAATCCATATCGTTGGAAGATAAATAGAGATAAAACTAGTTTATATATCCATAGTGTTTTTTTTTTTTAACATTTTTTAAGTAGATATAATAAAATCTCGATAGCAGTGTCACGAGGCATACAATAAACTGATAGTAATCAAAATACAGAGATATGATTAGAGATCGTCAAAATGATACTACATAGATCTTCAAAATTTTTATTCTTTTGCCGAAGTTGAGTTGGGTCAGCGGGTGGTACTTCTAACCCATCGCTGCATTCTTGAACGACATTCAGGACAGTCGATGCTTGACCATTGAGGCTTTTACCAGAGCTCAAATGTTGCTTGGCATCGTCAAGGTCACGGATGGCATCACCATAACTTTTCGAACACGCCAAATATCGCGGCTTAAGTTGAGGTGTTGCCTGTTTAATGAGTTCTCCAATCATGGTGTAGGCTTCTTTGGCACTTGCGGATGCTAAGTCGATGGAGATTTGGGCGAGGATATTAACATCTGCTGTGGTAGTACGTGGATCGGATTTTAAAGCTTGCAAGCAGAAAGGAGGATTAGTGGTCTGGGAGCACAGTTCTTCGAGGTAAGCATCTGTTGCCATCACTATTAGCCTTGCAGATGAGCATGAGGGACTAATGAAAACAAATACAAATACAAACACTAGTAGAAGAGAAACCTGCGACTGCGAGGAAGGACTACCCAAACTCATTTCTTCCTCCACTCTGTTTCTACCACCTGGAGTACTGGAATAAGATCAGAGAATGGGACAGTTAAATAGTAGTTTAGATTTCACAAGGTAACTAAAGGTAGGACATTGATTATTCTTTTTTTTTTAGCAAATATTTAGCAATTATTAAGTGCTAAATTTAGCAGTACAACCTTACATACATGTCTTGACAATATTGATATTATTGCATCATGTATGGTAAGTGTATGCAACCTTTTACCAAAAAATAAAATGTGGGGTCAGTACTAAATAAGAAATTGTGTCAAAGTCGGAATCTGATCAAGGGAGTGATCACAGTTGTCAAAATCCTACTATTATTGGTGCTATCCACGATTCAATTGTAGACAGATCCGCATCTTAGAAGGTATCAAATCGGGAGTAACTTGATTGATCCATGCGATTTGCATGTTTTTTGGCGGTTTTAGGTCCATTAAGGGACAAGCCAAATATCAAACATTTTTAGAATTTTTTTTTCTTTTCTTTTCTTCATTGATATTATTGTCTAGATACACTTGTGAGGGTATTTAAGATGAAATCGACCTTTTCTTTTTGGGCAAGTAAATCAACCATACCCCATGAAGAGGAAGACAAACATTAGAAAGGTTCTTTGACAGCATAATATCCTTGGATTTGTCTTCGTCCAAGAACCTATCATTTTGGTAAAGAGATATTCAAGGCGGAAAAAGGACACTAAAAAGAAGCATTATATTTGTTATACTCCCTGCCCTAGAGAGACAAAGTGCTGCAAAAATATGTTAATATCACCTACTCAAAGCACCAAAATTCTGCAA